GACTGGTTAGCGCGTGTGACTTTCACCCGGGAGTCTAGGGATCGAATCCAGATTGGATCAGTTTTTATATCCGCCACAGATCTCTCTGAACTCACAACATTGACGGCTTCAGCAACGCTGTGCCACTCCGTGGATTTTCTCTTATTAGTTTTGCAAAAGCACTTCCTTTCATTTCTCCACCTCACCCACAAGTACCTCAGTTTCTGCTTCTGTGAAATTGTGCTTCCTTGATCTGCCTTGATCTACGGTTGCCATTTCATTGGCGGAGCGCTGCAACAGCCGGCTTATGTATATGCATGAGATCCACAAGGCACTTTCCACTGACTATTTATGGCAGTAAGTGGGCGTGGTGAGGGTGGGATGTGACTAAAATGCAGCTGAGAACCTTTCTAGATAGTTTCTGATTTATGAAGCGGTGGTTGCGTGCAGCTGTGCGAACTCCATGTTTGATAGATCACAAACCTGCTTGGCGTAAGTACATTTTTTTTGCTGAGCTTAAGTACGGTTTTAGTAAGGATTCTACGCAATGTTTGATAAATGAGACCCCTGACCTGTATTGGAATGTTTACTGTGTGAAGTGCCTTGAGACGACTCTCGTTGTGCTTTGGCGCTGTATAAAAAAAGAAGAGAATCAAGTTGCTGCTGCTGAGGGATAAGGGAATAGATGGTTCAGAGCTATGATTCTGTGTAAGTTTGGCAACTGTATTGAAAATACAAATTCTCCTCAATTAGTGATGAAAGTATGCCATTCTAGTTTGTCAAAGCTTATTTTTATAAAGCACAAGACTATTTTTCCAGGATAAGTAGGATTCCTCCTGGTGTGTAGAGCGCCATGTTCTCTCCAATTTTTCAGTTTTGTTTTGAAGTTCCTAGATCAGAATTAAATCAGGGAGCCAACTTCCTGTGCTTAATTACCTTCTTTTTTTAAATGGACAACATCATCTAATGCCACACGTAAAGAAGTAACATTATGAACTAGATCATCAATTTGTGAAGGGCTAGAAATGAAAATATTGCCCTCTGCTACGTTCCTCTGAGATAATGAAGACAGTAAAAATGGCAGTTGATTTAATAGATGGATAGAGGTTGACTATAGTGAAATTTACATTCATGTGTAGCGCTGTGAAATTTACATTCATGTGTAGCGTTGTTAATCTACATAACTAGAATTTAAGCTGTTGCTATGCAGCTATGCTAAATCCTGAGAAAGATCAAACGAATTGGTAATGAAACTTATATATATATATCCATGGATATTTATATAATTGATAGAAGTTCATACAACAACTGGCTTGGTCTATATTTAATAAAAAAAATTAATATATAATTTAAGAGATTTAAATTAATAGCAAAAGTTTATTTATTAATTCAGAAGATTTAGAGATTTTTGCTCGTGCGGTGACCAAATATACACCACTCTGTGTTTCATTTCAAAGAAGAGCCAGGTTTGAAAAGTTAAGAATTTATTACTAACAATTTGAAGATGACAATTTAAAAGACAATTCATAAATGACAATTTTTTAAAAGCTTTGGTATTAAAACGTGGTATTAAAGCAATCTGTGTCTGAATGAAACTAAAAATGAAATGTGTGTGTTTGGATGTGTGAATGTAGTCTCAGAAGGTTTTTATCTTAGAGAGAGAAAAACGCGTTCTGGGTAGTAGAATTTGGTTTGCAACTAAGCTAAATTCTTTCTTAAAGGAGCAGGCATACAGACGCAATCTGTGTTCTACCTCACTGTTCAGACGACCCTCTGTTTGGATCCGGAGGTCAAGGGAGGATGTTGATCCGCCTCTGGGTACTCGGTCCGGTAGGGAAGACCAGTGGTACCGACTCTCTGGTCCTAGAGTTGCTGCAGGCACACAGGTGTTGAGTTGGTTTGCATCTGAGCAGATTCTTAAGGAATCTCATAGAGTCAGCTTGTTGCAGATGGCGTTTCTGTTGAAGCAATTCTATCGGCGTGACAGAAAAGCTTTAGTAGAAGTTTCGAGCGGCCGACCCGATCCTCTGGACTCTCGTTGCCACGGAGAGAATTTTGGTGAGCTCAAGAACTGAACGTGAACTGAGGAGTTTGGTTTTAAGAGACGGCCGGTAATCTTATTCTAACGAATTAGATATTTGCATAACATACCTCAGAACACGCCCTCCCAAGATAGAAAGCTCTGGTGTTATGGTACAAAGACATGTGAGTGCAGTTAACTTTAACCTGATTACTGTGTCCTGCATGGTGTGTATAAGTGCACGTGATCTTCTTGTCACTGTTAAACATTCCTGATTATCATAAATAATCATTATTATTAACCAAAGAATAATAATTCACTTCAGTAATTAAATACATTTATAATGGACCTTGATGATTATATATGAACATTGTAATAGACAGTGAAAAGAGTTTATTAAAACTGATTCTTTTACATCTTGAAGTGTCCGTCTTGTGGATGGAACAGAGTCAGATAAAGGCAGTCAGATTAAAGATGGTTTACAGCAGACTTTGCATCGCCTGTGATGGATAATCTGTAGATAGAAGTACAGTCAAGACAGCTTGACCCAGCTGAGGAAGTGTGACCTTTGGGTCACAAATGAGGCCATTCATGTCGCTACACCACTCACGACTTTTCTTCACCTGCAGGCCGGAAGAATGAAACGGTAGTCTCCACAGTTTGCTGAATTAGCTTAACAATGCTCCGAGTGCTACCTTCACTTAGCCAGTGAAAGCTAACTGTCCGCTAAACTGCTTCAAAGTACTGTAGCATATTAAACTTCAGGACAAACTTCGAGCTAAAGCGTCCACAAGTAGTCCAGGAACCATTAACCAAGCGTACATTACCGGCCATTAGGTTAACGATCCGGAAACATATTTAATTACTCTGCTTCGGACATGTGCGTCTTTTTCACCCATCATTCTCTCCAAGCTCCCCCCTTTTAATTCCCACGATCACATCTTAGTACTTCTTTTTTTCACAATAAAACCAAAATAAAATACATTAAAACATGCTAGACATTGCCTGCTTTTGACTTATATTTAGGTACTTCTTAACAGTTTTAATTTTCACCACATAAATGAAATACAATATTAATAATACTTTTAACATTTAATTAGCTTTAGCTTTTAACCCCTTTTAAACTGTAATATGATTTATGAACTTCATTAATGCACTAACATGTTTGTCCGGGTTACAGTTGGTAATGGATTGATTATTAGTTCTGAATGAGAAATGGTTGCTGCTACTCCTCCTCTCCCTGTACTTCGAGCAATATGATGATTTAAATATTTAGAAGGAGTCGACTCGTTTAAACTAACAACGCCTATGGCTCCTACTAACGGTACGCGCGATTTTGGGCTGGCCAGTCGGTTAGCTGTGGGTGTGTTCTAGCAGTTCGGCTCCAGGCAGACCTCTTTGGGAAAAGAACTGGAAAGTCGTCAGATTGCGTGCATCCAAGGCTACCTAAATGAGAACACTCCCAACCTAGTCAAGGCGTAGTGGGGGCGATGCTAGTGTGTAAGTGGAATTAAAGATAACGTGAGAAGCTCGGTCATCTTGGAGTAGATCCACTACTCCTCCACATTAAGAGCAGTCAGTTGAGGTGACAGGTTAGAATGTCTACTGGACGCTTCCCTAGTAAGGTTTTCGGGCATTTCCAACCAGGAGAAGACCTAAAAGACACAGGACACCCTGGATAGATGTTTCTTGGCTGGCCAGGGAACGCCTTGGGATCCTGACAGAGGAGCTGGCCCTCGTGGCTGGGGAGAGGGAAGTCTGGGCCTTTTTACTTAGACTGCTGCCCTGTGATCCGGCCACGGCCAAGTGGAGGAAAATGGATGGATGATGCAGGGAAATATCCTAAACCAGCAGGAATTCAGCATTTATAGCCCATTCATAGGCTCACATAGCTCCAAACAAAACACTAAAGATAAAGGCCTTTATGTTCCCCTCCCTTCTCCGCAACAGTTAGCTTGAAGTTTACAGAGTGACAATAAATCAATGCAGATCCATTTAGCAATCAAGCTAGGTTGGTGCTAAGCTAACTTACGGTAGGTGCTAAGTTGACTGAGTCATCCACAGACATATACGTAGATGCCGTATGGACCGCCACTACTGAGTGGCCGGCCGCCATTTTAGATGGGTCTCCATTCGCCTCCAGTGCATTCATTTACACTGAAGAAAGTGCTTACCCAATAAAAAAAAACATTTTATAAAGCTTTTTCACAAAATCAGACACAAGGTGTGGCATGATAGTTAAAATATAAATATAATTAAACAAAATTAATTTACATAAATTGAAATGTAAAATTAGTTTGGCTAGAAAAGTCACTCGTAATCCCACGTGATCTGTTCTCAATTGTACGTCGGTTGTTGTAAACATAGGCTGCACAAAAACAGGCATAGTTGCTCACTCTGGATTGACTTTGGAGAGTGGGGAGTCTCATCCAAAATGGCGCCCAATGGGGCATCTATCATGTCTGTGGAGTCATCTGTATCCGTTTAGTGCATGCTGGGAACCGAGGCCTATTGTTGTTGATTGACAGCTCCCTCTTATGGAGACGCATTCTGTTGGTCAACGTTCTAGGCTCGCATCAATGATTATTTTTGCTGTGGAGGCTAGGAGGGAAAATGGAAATAATGAAACACTAGCAAATTTTTAACTTAGATTAGGGTCACATAGTCACATGTATTAACTTTTATAATTTGTTAAATAATTTTAACTATGTACACACGCTTTAATCTCTCCATTGCACTTTGTTCATAGTTTGATTTTAGACGTTTGTTACTAACAGGTATTGATGTTTTATATTTATTTAGGCTGGTCTGTGTAACATTTTCTGTTCTCCTACTTCCCAGTCATGATGAATGACCAATCTGAATCTGAAAGTGACGTAGACAAGTAGGAAAAGCAAGATGTATTGTTTTTATTACCAGTGTTACCTGTTAACCATGTCAACTTTAAATCTTATAATTGTATGTGTATTACTCCTCTTGTTTTTTCTTGTTTCTTTCTCAGAAGCAGAAACAGATTATTACACTGTTGGTAAGTGTCAAAGTATAACTGAATCTACTCTTTCTCACACAGTTCAACTCCATTCACAGTCACTTCTAATCACTTCAGAAACTCAGAAACTTGCTGCCAGTTAAGTTAAATTGTAATCATTTTTGTTTTAACAAAATATAAAACATGGCTTATGGATTTATATTTCTTTAATTTGGTTTTTAGTGAAATTCAGTCCATACTTCAATAACAAACATGGCCAAAAATGTGCCCTACCCATACACATAGTTATTATTGGACAGAGCAACACCCATTTCTCTCATTTATAAAAGTCATAAAACACAAGGTTCCCCCAACCGCCATTTTGGCCTTGTCACACATCTCGTCACGCCCAGACAATTCAAAAAGGGAAAAGAGGTGGAGCTGAGGGTGGCGCTGAGAGGAATTTAATTTTTTTAAGAAAATGTGAATTCATTGTTATAATAACCATTCTGTCCTCTTTTTTAATTGATGTATTCTTTATTTAACCAGAAAGGTCCCAATGAGATTTGAAACCTCCCTTTTAAGGAAGTCCTGGCCAAGAGGCAGCAAAAGTTACAGTTACAAAATTTGTTATGTTAAATGATAAAATGACCCGCACTTGTATAGTGCCTTTCAGAGTCAGAGGACTCCAAAGCACTTTACACTACAGTGTATCATTCACACACTGATGATGATTAGCTACAATGCAGCCACAGCTGCCCTGAGGCACACTGACAGAGGCAAGGCTGCTGAGTACAGGCACCACCCGTCCCCCCGAATACCACCAGCAGGCAAGTTGGGTTAAGCGTCTTGCCCAAGGACACAACAGCAGCATTCTCTGTCCGGAGCCGGGCTCCAACGTGAAATCTTCCGATTACTAGAAAAATCGCTCTACCTCCTGAGCTACTGCTTAAATGCACAGTGACATTGGCATGTTTAACATGGGAGTCAATGAGGAACTGCTCACTTCTGGTGCCAGCCCCTAGTGGATGAGGGGGAACTGCAGTTATTGGCGCGTCCTTGTTGGGAGCAGTACTGGATTCGGGACCCCCTTGGCCCTATGATTGACCATAATGTTAAAATGTTTCATACAGTAAAATGAATATTACAGGATCACATATGACATGAACATTAGACTTATACCTCCTAAAATCAAAAGTGGCTTTCTGTTTTTCAGACTCTGTGACTGCAGAGACTCCGAAACCACAAGAGGATGCCTTCGGGGTAAGTGACTAAATACTGAATATTCTAAATGTTAAAATCACGGCTTAGAGAAAACCTTCCTGGGATGACAAAGTAATTGACAATTGGTTAGTTATTTGTCTCATTTACTGACAAACCATGTCATCTTTTTTCTTTTTTTTAAGTACAGTCCTGATCAAAAATTTAAGACCACTTGAAAATGGCCAAAAATCATATTTTGCATGGTCAGATCTTAACAAGGTTCCAAGTAGAGCTTCAACATGCAACAAGAATGGGAGTGAGACAAAACATTTTCTGAGCAGCAATTAATCAAAAACAATGTTTAACATAAAACAGCTGATGAAAAGTTTAAGGCCGCCACACCTCCCAAAACACTTGTTAACCCCCCACCCCACCCCAAACAGAAATCTAAGTTTAAGACTCATTAACGAGCAGCTCCACCATTATTGTTCATCACTTCAAAAATTCAAAAATAGTATGGCATTTTTGATGCAAGCTTTCCATGAGGTGAGTGTGAATATCTCATCAAGTAATGAAGACGACCACTTGAAGGGCATCTACTGTCTGGAACTGTTGTTCATTTTTGTTAACTTCCCTTGCCATTCATTCATTTTCCATTGGATTTAGATCAGGGGAACATCCGCATCATCTCCACACACCATAGCTCAGAATCAGTTAGCATATAATGAGCATTAATGAATGGGACTTGTAACTTGTAAACAATAATGTGACAAAACATAAAACTTACTGGTTGGTCTTTTACACAGAAGAACAACTTCATTATGATGCAAAAGAAACAGCCAGAGAGTAGAGAGTGTTTCCGAGGTCTTCAGGCATGTCTTAGTCAAGTTGGATTATTTGTGCATTTAAGACAACCATGAACAGAAACACCCAAAAGCTTTAACTGATTCAAGGATAAACCCTGAATTTAGAACAATTTTAGGGAAGCTGAGTTAAACAGCCAGATTGCACACTTATTTATTCTCCTAAATGCATACTCATTTCTAGAATCCCTGTAGTTTGATCATATTTCATTTTACAACCCTGTCAGTCCGTCTTTGGAAACATTTTGACAGGGAGCCCGTGCCTGGGCTACACTGAACCTGTCAACATCTTCCATGTAATATAAAAAGACTGTCTGTCTGTGAAGTCTGAGCAGGATGCTTGACTGAGCAGTTTTTTTTCTTTTGATGCATGCATTTAAACAATGATCACTGATAATTGACTACAACATAAGTCAGACTTGCCTTGTTTGGTAGCAAACATTCCAGAGGAAATTGGTTAAATACATTATTTTCCTGAAATTGCCTGCAGGTTTTCATAGCAGTGGGTCTGGCAACCTTTGCCTGTGTAATCCTGGTGATCCTCTTTCTACTCATCAACAAGTACGGACGCCGATCAAAATTCAACATCAAAGGTGAGCTAGCTGAAAATTTCTGCTGCAGCTGAAATGCTGGCCTCTTAAAGACAGCTTGTTTTATCCATGAGAGACCTCATTTAGAAGAGACGACTAAAGTGGCAAAACAGTGAGAGGTCAGCAAATCACTGAGTTGATTTAGGTTTAAGGAAGGTTTCTGCCTCTCATTTGTTGGTTAAATGTTGTCATGCTTGTCTGATGTGTTTTGTACCGTATTTTCCGGACTATAATTCACTCTGGAGTATAAGTCACACCAGCCATAAAATGTATAATGAAGAAGAAAAAAACATATATGTCGCATTTTGGGGGTAAATTTTATTAATTTTCTTACAAAATCTGAGACCAAGCGTTTCACATTGCAAGACAAGTACCGGTAACAATAACAGAATAAACAACCAGTGCGAAGCAGCGCGCCACGGTCTCCAGCAGAGGATGGCGGTGTTTCAGACCCTCGCAGCGAGTGGGGAGAGCACCCGCAGCACCCCGCCACAGGCTGCAGCAGGTGATGGCGGTGTTTGAAACCCTCCCAGCAGGGCAGAGGAGCTGAAACCTGGACCGGAGCCGGCCCGCAGCAGCGTGCAACGGTCTCCAGCAGGTGATGGCGGGGCAGGGGAGCTCATTCCTGGTCCGGAGCCAGCCCGTAGCAACGTGGTATAGCCAACATAATTTGGTATACAAGTCGCTCCGGAGTATAAGTCACAGGACCAGCCAGGCTATGAAAAAAAAGCCTGGCTTTTTCACACCCGTTTCCACATTTTAACATTTAGCAAGGCCAGCTGTGACAGACTGACACAATGAATTCAGACAAACCTAGTTTTTATTTCCAGGTCCGGGAGCAGTGATGAATGTTGAGGAAAACTCCACCAGTCCTCTTCATCATGTAAACCATGGCGTCATCAGCCCCTGTGCACTCGATAATGGCTCAGACTCTGTGGTGATTGGGCTGAGCAGGATCCCCATTATAGAGAACCCACAGTACTTCAGACATGGACACAACTGCTCCAAACCAACCACCTGTGAGTATCTGCACCTAGGAGGAGAAAATACTTTTCCGAACCTTTTCCATCTAAAAAATGACACCAAATAAATGAAATAAATATGGAGGTGGGTTTAGATTCTCACCTGTTTAGGGCAAGATTTGGTGTTACTTTGGTGAGTAGTATGTGTCAACACTACTGAAAGAAAATTCTCATTAAGGACTACTAGCATGTGTGAGTTTGAGTGTGTGTGTTTGCTGTGTCCTCTCTAACCCCCATCAGTTGTAAATGGTGAATGGCCTGTATTCATCCACACATTCACAAGCTGGTGCAGATAAGCTTCAATGTAGCCACAGCAACCCTGGAATGCACTGATTTTCCCTCCGACCACCACCAGCAGGCAAGGCAGGTTAAGGGTCTTGCCCAAAGACACAACAGTGGCATTCTCTGGTCAGAGCTGGGATTGAACCTACAACCTTCTTATTACTGGAGAACCCACTCTACCTCCTGAGAGGCTATGAAGCTATGGCAGAACCTTGAAGCCTTTATAGATGGTGCTGCATGAGCAGCAGCTTGTTACAGCAGCTCTGGCTTCTTTTAACTCTTTATTCTTTCCTCATCTTGTGTGGCATGTTTTCAATGACATAACTGCATTGGTCCATGGAAGTACTTTTATGTTGTTTGGGTTCTGTTTTTTTATTGTTTTTGGACTTTGCGAACACTCCAGGAAATCCCAGCAGCTCCAAGCATGGCTCCGTTATTTATACTGGTGCTTTGAGTGCCGATACTCCTCAGCACAGAAAGGCCAGTCCTTCCCCCCGATATACGGAGGAAAAGAAGAGGCAGCAGAGCAGGACATGAGCTCTAGGAAAGGAAACCGCCATATTTATCCTCCGTGATTATGGGAAATATACGTTCCTTCCCCAATAAAAATGACAAGCTCACAAATGATAAATGACCCGCACTTGTATAGCGCCTCTCAGAGTAAGGACTCCAAAGCGCTTTACACTACAGTGTATTATTCATCCATTCACATACACACATTCACACACTGATAGAGACGAGCTACGATGTAGCTACAGCTGCCCTGGGGCGCACTGGCAAAGCTGATCAGGCTACAGTGTAACCTAATGTTTTCTACTGAGGCAAGGATGAATGAGTTTTTTGCAGACTCTGAGGTCTCCCTGGAAGGATTTAAACCAGGGGTGTGGAATCCTGGTCCTGGAGGGCCAGTATCCCGCATGTTTTGGTTTTAATTCTGTTTCAACACACCGGATCAGCAGGTGATTAACAGGCTTCTGCAGAGCTTGATGAGCTGCTGCACAGGTGATTCAACCACTGAATCAAGTGTGTTGGAGCAGAGAAACCACTAAAATGTGCTGGGTACTGGCCCTCCAGGACCAGGATTCCTCAGCCCTGATTTAAAGTCACACAGGCTGACAGGAGAGCTGAGCAGTGTGTTTATCAATGAAAGATGATGCAACCCCGGCACATGTGACCATTAATAAACAACTCTGCACAAAAAAATGCAAAGATGCTCTGAACCCAATCTCATACATCTGATCCCAGAATGCACACCGAGGGTGAGAAGAAAGCCTCCACAAAATAAGTCTGTGGAAGTGTGGTCTGGGGAAACTAGTGAGAGACTGAAGAATTGCTTCCAGTCCACAGAAAGGGAGACACTTTCGGCTCTCATGAAGATTACCTTGACAACCTGACCCACTATGCCACTGTCTATGTGAACTTCTGTGTGGAGAACACTGTCCCTAACATGGAGAGTGAAGTGTTTCTCCAACAATAAGCCCTCGTTGACCCCTGAGCTCAAATCCCTGCTGAATGGTAAGAAAGCTTTTGTCAATGTTTACAACAAGGAGCAGAGACAAGTCCAAAAGGAGCTCAAATGCAAGATCAAATGGGCCAAAGACAGCTACAGGAAGAAGCTTGAGGAAGAGCTGGGGCAGAAAAATGCTTGTGGTGCACAGATAGGCCTCAGAAACATTACAGTTCACAGAGGGAGGGGTGATGTCAGTTGGACAGTTGGCCGGATGCACAGGCCACGGGACGACATCACAGCCCTCTTTGGAACACTACCCACTGGAGAACTGGAGGTGATGTCAGTAGGAGCTGTGGCATGCCCTCATCGCTGATCAGGGAATGGAGGTAATTGAGGAGCATGGACTCACTCCCAATGCTTTGGACCAACTCCCGGGGAACACACAGACAGTCTGGTGCCCTTAAAGAGGGACTTGTCCTGCAGCTCTACCTAATTCAACCCTCCATTTAGACCGGGAGGGACAAGGTAGACCTCAGTGGCAGCGTCTGCAGCGAGGTGTTAGAGGAGTCTGGCTGGCAGCTTGGGAAAATACATTGCAGGAGGTATCTCCAGGGAAGTATCTTATCGCTGGATCCTTTAGGGCAGCAATACTCAATAGGTGACCTGCGGGCCACGTCCGGCCCGCGGGCCCTCTCTTTGTGGCCCCCAAACCCACGTGCACCCTCCAACCCCACCTCCCGACGGGGACTGAGAGGTGTAGGATAGAGCTGAAGAAAATAATCGAATAATCAATGCATCGAGATGCGGGCATAAACGATTCGGCATCATAGAAGAGAACCATAATCAATTATAGTGGAATGTAGTTTTGTTATTTTAACGGCGGCGCCAGCGTAGCATCCACATCTGTTAGAGCGGTGTTCTCCACATTTACCGGTTAGGAAACTTTGGTCCGCCTTCATGTTGCATTGCAGGGCTGAGCGCTGGAATTGTAACCTGAGACCGAACCTGACCCGAATCAGCCCGATCGGTTCTGTTGGATTTGGACAGTGAATTATGCTAACTGAGCGGGTTGTCTCGCCGCGCACTCCGCTCGCTCGATCAGAGAGAGAGAGAGAGAGAGAGAGAGACTGCTCACAAGAGAGAGGATCGGAGGACGCTCCTCCAAACGCACATTATTATTTTCATAAAGTCATTATTGTTTCTCCTGGAAGCCCTCAGTCAGACCGAGTGCTGTGATGTCGGGAGATCCGGTCTTGGGGAGGGGGCGGGGTCAGTGACGGCGGCTGCAACGTAACCTGTCTCTTGTATTTAGGGACACGGAGAAGTTAAAAGGAGAGAGAAATAGAAGATAGAAGTTCTTGTTCCGCTTTATTCTTTTATTTCATGATGATAAACTGATGTTAAATTCAGCTTAAAGACAAACTGGGAGGAAGCTTTGGTTCATTTTAGGTTACAGGAGATCATGTCTCCTATCTGCTCCTCCAGAGACAGCATGGACATGAGGGTTGCATGGTGAGGGTTACATGGTGAGGGTCCCACAGCCGAGCTGGAGGGGGACAGGTGTTGTCCTGCTTTATATTGTAAGCTTGTGTGTTATGTGCATCGCAGCCAGCGATCTGAACAGCAGCAGTCTGTGCTGGTCTGTCCCACCAAGTTGGTCACCAGCAGTACAGAGTGTGAAAGAGAGAGAGGCAGGGAAAAGACTAGATATTTTTAATTAACGGGTTAAACTGCTGAAACTGGGAAGGTCTGTGAGTTAAAACTGTTAAATGACAGGAGATGTTGAAAAAGCCTTGTGTTCATCGTGTGTTAAAAAACAAACGGCATTTAAGGGATTCAAATTAGAACGTTACCTCATGTTCTTTACAAGCATGTCCTCATCCATGCGCTCTGCTCTGCAGCAGCTCCAGAGCTCACGCAGATAGACAACATTCATGCAAAGGTGGGAGGAGTGTATCAGTCGTGTTGCCTGAAGCTCTAAACCCCTCAATGACATCATCAGCAAGCGCAACCGATTAGCCGGTAGAAACAAAGGCCGTGTTCCAGATGAGCCAGTTCTGCGCAGATTAGAACAGCGGTGATCACGGGCAGTGCATGCCGGTTAGATTTGTGTCCGACTTGACACCGACTTGCTCTGACGTCATGCATACGTAGGCAACAATAAACTTGTGAGATCAAGGCGGCCGCAGATTTTGGAGCAAGGCGCTGCAGTTGCTCTCCACCGGCTGCAAAACCTAGGGGATGACGGGAAACGCCTGGCTCTCACCTGATCTAAGATCTGATTTGTTCACATTCTGATCCAAACATCCGGTGGTAGAACATGAAATGTTAGTTGGTCACATGTATTCTGTGAAACATGTTATGTTGATGATGACAACAATATAGGCCATAAAGAGAAATGTGTTTTGTGTTCTTTTGTCACGTTTCCTATGAGCACACTAAACCTACAGCTGATAACCTTTACTTATTATTACAGTCATGTCTCCATGTACAATATATGATGTCCACAAGCACGTGAGGATGTGTTTCAGCTGCTAACAGACACCAGAATTAAAATAAATTATTAAACAAGTATGAACTCTAACGCGATATCTTCATCCATCGTCACCCGTGAGCTACATGTAGGGAAATCTGTCCGACTTAAGCGCCAGCTTTCAGCCACTCCCCCTGCTGCGTCCGTCTGCTCTCGTCTGGTTTCCAGGCGAGGCGCTGCTCAACTCGAGCAAGGCCAAATTCTATATCATAGGCCAACATTATACAGGTTATATCTTATATCGTTTATACCTAGCTCATGATGGGTTTATGGCAACTTCATGCCCTACAGTTTTAAATCCTCCTGTTTTTGTTTAGAGGAGACTTGAATTCAACTGATGTTTCTTGTGTTTAATGTACAATAATGTGCAAAAGTTTTATTTAGGCAGTGTCACGGTGTGGAGGGAAGGTGAGGGAGGAAGAGCGGATCCTTCAGGCAGGTAAATCGACCCAGGCCAGACAGCAGCAGACATTTGGTTCCTTTTTAATGGTCAGGAGTGCAGACACGACAGGGTGGACAGATGTGAACATAAACTGACATGTAACGAGTACGAACCGACAAAACCACAAGCAACACACAAGGCTTATATACACACTGGGATGGGTAATCAGGTAACAAGAGGCAGGTGGACACAATTAAGGAAAAAACTCAAGGCACAGGAGAGCAATAATGTGACAGGCAGTGTTGGGCATTTTACATTAAAATAGTAATAGTTACTAATTACTTTGTCCCAAAAATAGTTGAGTTAGTAACTCAGTTTCCAAACTGTAAAAGTAATTAGTTACATAGCAAAGTGTCACACTGTCCTGTCTCCCCATTCTGTTCAGTCCTGTGTCCTTGTTAATCTCTCCCACCTGCCTCTCGTCTTCCAATCGCTCCAGGTCCCAGCTCCTCCTGTGTTTTAACCCTCTCAGTTCTGTGTGTCTTGTCGGTTCGTTGTTTCATTGTCCTGCGTGTCTCATTAAATCCTTATTGAATGTTCTCGTCTGCCTGCCTCCCTTCTTCACCTCATTTGGATCCCCACCTCCGCTCCACTCACCAGCACGTTGTGAAACAAAGTAACAGTGAAGTGACTTTTATCTTCTAAAACGCAGTTATGTTCGATGTCTGTTTTGACTAATAAGAATACAGCTAGTACTAGAATAAACTATTTCTACACAGAACAGGATTTACAGAGAGGTCCCATAGTTGATTAAAGGTTAAAATGGCTTGCCAAAGCCTGCCCTCACTCATATTCTCACCTTTCAGTAGCGCTATTATCCCCCCCCCCCCCCCCCAGTTTTACAGATTTGTAATGTAATTTGTAATACACGTGTGTGTGTGTGTGTGTGTGTGTGTGTGTGTGTGTGTGTGTGCGCGCGTGTGTGTGTGTGTGTGTGTGTGTTATGTACATTTTTGCCATTTGTTAGTGATTCAGGTTGGGGTGCAGAGCCGTTTTGTTCACGTCCGACACATCACTGTAGCTGTTAGAGAAACACTGCTGTGCTTCCTTCACCCACATTGTAGTAACGCGCCATTTTACATGCCCAGTATCGGTAACGGCGTTGCAACGATGGGAAAAGTAATCTGGATGAACTAGGCAGAGGGTGGTCACACCACATGTTCATTTGATTTAGATTTCTCTTTTGATAAAAAAATAAATAACTCTTCCATTTTTAAAATAATTCTAAAAACATTTACTCAGAGCTGTACTTCCATCCCGTTTTCTCAGATGTTCATCATATTAAGCAGCGGGACATCGTTTTGAAGAGGGAGCTTGGAGAGGGAGCGTTTGGCAAGGTCTTCCTGGCTGAATGTTATAACTTGAGTCCTACGAAGAAGATGCTGGTAGCTGTGAAGGTAAGGTGTGTGTGTGTGGGTAGGGGTGATGCTGTAGCTTCAGCTTCACGCTGAAAGCATCAGCAGCGTGGAATGGCAACTGAACTGCTTCAAATAGGATCCATTATAGTCTACAGACTGTTTCAAACCAGCAGCGATGTGGCAATTTCCAGACACATCCCCACGCTGCTAAAGATAGGACCGGCTTCCAAGGGCGTCAGTTTGTTTTCAGAATTGCTGGGGACAATAACCATACACTTGAGTGGGGTTTAAAAATTGCTGGGGACAATAAAGTAGGCTAGCAAAGGGGTCGGCGGCTCTGGAGCCGCATGCGGCTCTTCCATCCATCTGATGCGCTCTCTGTGCTTGTGAAATAATGAATGGATGTTTAAATAAAAAGCTTTATATTTTACTGCATTAATTTTACATCTGTATGCCAATTCTAAATTTAAAGACTGTCTGCGTAAACCTGAACAGGTCCAACCCGGTCTTACTGTGAGACCGGGTTGACGCGTCACGCTTGTGCGTAATCATATCTTCGCATTCTGAGCTGGAGGATGTCAGATTCTGGGCTTCTCCTCAGACAGGTTCCTGGATGCGTCGCCACATTGGAGACAAGAACAAGCACTATTCAGCCAAAGTTTCATAATCAGGTGTTGCAGTGTGAGTGTCCTGTCACAGTGTCCCGATAGATAATGCGCCCTGGCTACTTGGCCAAGGGGATGTCCCTTTGGCTGACTGGTTAGAGCGTATGACTCTCACCCGGGAGTCTGGGGATCGAATCCCGCCCGGGCCCTCGTTTCTCCACCTTGCCACATATTGACGGATAAATGCGATAAGATTTCCTCCCACTGAAGCGTTCTGGAAACCCGGTCTCTCTGAGGGATGTGTAACTTGGAAAAATGTTCTTTTTATGAAATTATGAAACTTTGGCTGAACAGCGCTTGTTCCCGTCTCTAATATGGAGACGCATGACGCGTAGAGACATTTGATCACGCACAAAGTTTATGTGGAGCAGAAGCGGTCGGGCCACGGCAGGTGGAATGTTCCTAGCCTACATGAAGTGAAACTGTTTAATTGTAACATTAATGTGTTACTGGGCACGCTGGTCTGGTTGGTTATACCAGTGTTTGAAGTGGAAAACACACACACACACACACACCAATTAAAATAATGCTGATAGCGTGGACTAGAAGACAGGTGATAGTTTACGTATTTAAATGATGATCAGACTGCTGTAAAATGTAATCTCCATCCACATCCAGACACAATTATCCTCTAGTCTTTCTCTAGTTGCTCTGCTCTTGTCTGGGCTGATCAGCTGATGGTGCGCCTAACTAGCGGCTGATGCACATTTTACGCATTTGGAGAGGTGGACTGGATGCTTTGCGTTTACTGGAAGATGGTCCACTTAACGCACGGGTGTAGACTACATATTAATGACAAATGAATGAAAATTAAATTGTGAGTTTTTACTTCATATTTTATAAATAAAAATGACGGGGGAACACATTTATGACGCTTTTTTAAACTAAATTTTCTAGCGCGACCTGCCTGCTTCACTTAAGTCACTGCTTATTAAGGTCCGTCCAGAATTACTGTGGGAAATGGGTAATAATGGCTCTTTGATGGGAACAGGTTGTTGACCCCTGGTATAAGATCTGAGCTGGTAAAACAAAAATCCTCATCAGCAGGCGTTTTTGAAAGTGGGGGGGACACAGCTGCCAATCACAAATTTTGCCGGGGACATGTCCCCGGCGTCCCCGGTTAAAATGACGCCTATGCCGCCTTCTATTTTTGCCACGAGCCGCTTCTGGGACACGTCAATTTCCGCAGTTAACTTAGGACTAGGCAAGAAATGACACACAGTTTCAGTGTGAAATTCCCGGTAATTTTCAAAATAAAAGTACTGCAGCGATGCTATTTCATATATATGAAGCTTAGGTGTGACCCAACGGTTCATTTACTTACAGCATCGTTTCAGACGTGCAACAGTGTTTTTTCTCATGGCTTTCATCCTGGCAGTGGAGAGGAACAACATCATATATGACATCAAACAGAGATATCAAACTTGATTTCCTTCTTTTGGTTTAATAGCGGATTGCGTAAACAAACTGTAACCTTTGAAGTCTCGAGTGATCGTGTGATCTCATGAGTCAAGCGAAGAGCACGGCAGAGAAGCCGCTTTGCTGCTGAGACTTTCACGGAGTGCACTTGAGTGCAGTGATTGTCGTGAATAAACCTTTCCTCTGCCGTTCCGCACCCCTTTTGCTTCCAGTGTGCAGTAGGGGTGAATCACATCAGACACGAAAGTGAGATGATGCGTCCAAAATTTCCCTCTTTGCTACCGGTGTCTAAACAGACAGACAGATGAAAATTAACGAAGACACACACACACACACACACACACACACACTCCTGCAGAGACACATAGTGTTTCCATAAATTTAAATATTTAATAAATGCGAATACAAACAACCAGGTTCAGTTCAAAGATATACAGTAGCGTAGGTTTAATATCTATCCTTGTTTGTGTTTTACCTGCTGGTTCCAGTCCAAGGTCACATGATTAGTTAGATGAGAGGCATGCAACACCAGGACGAACAACTCTTCACAGTTATGAACACATTTAGAGTTTATTGGGCATGGTTTTGGTGGTTTTGGTGGTTTTGGTGGAAACAAGAATTGGAGAAAATACACAAGCTTGAGAACGTGAAAGTGAAGCAAAGTTTTAATAGGGAGCAGACCCAATGAGGATTGATGATTGATTGTTGAGATAACGTTTCTATCAACCATAAAAAATCAGCATCGTGGGAAAAATATTCTCTATTATCCTTCTCAGACTCTAAAGGACCTAACACTGGCAGCAAGGAAAGACTTCCAGCATGAAGCCGAGCTGCTGACAAACCTCCAGCATGAGCACATAGTGAAGTTCTATGGAGTGTGTGTGGATGGAGACCCTCTCATCATGGTTTTTGAATACATGAAACATGGAGATCTCAACAAGTTCCTACGGTGAATTCCTTCATACTGATAAAGTATTTGGTAACGTGAACCTATTTTTCTGTTCAACTGTCTCATCGTTGCTTCTTTTTTGGCCTTAATTTTTTATTTTTTACCTTTAAAGCAGCATTTGAAACCGTTGATTACATCATCCTGATCTCCTGTCTCGAACACTATGAAAGCCCTAAAGTGTTTCAGCTCATACATTTTTTTCTGTAAGCCTCAGAGTGTCACACTCTGTCCTGTCTCCCCATTCTGTTCAGTCCTGTCTCCATGTTAATTGCTCCCACCTGCCTCTCGTCTCCCAATCACCCAAGGTTCCAGCTCCTCATGTATTTAACCCTCTCAGTTCCGTGTGTCTTGTCAGTTCATTGTTTCTATGTCCAGCGTGTTCTTAATTAAAACCTTGTTAAACCGTTCCTGTCTGCCTGCCTTCTTCACCTGCGTTTTGATCCTCACCTCCGCTCACCTCACCGACGCATGTCGTGACACAGAAGCTGTTTATTAGCTATTCTGCTATGCGGTCCCCATGGTTCTATTCTCGGACCATTTTCTTTATTTATTTATTTATTTTTTTCATTTAACTTCTTCTAACTTTAAGTGGTCTTATAACAAAATAATAAAGAAATGATACAATCTTTTGTTGCCATTTTGTACTCACACGCTATCCGGGTACATAGGAATTCTTGTGTGTAGCTTAGAGTCAATATTAGACGCAAAAAGATCAAATACAAAAAATTGCAATAATTAACCCTCCCACTGTCCTAATGGGTGTGACCCCGCAAGGAAAGCTGACCAATGAGCAGGGTTGATGGTTTATCCCTTGAGGTCCATGTGGCAGGGGTGAGGAGTGAGCACCACCTCACCCCTGCCACGTGGACCTCAAGGAGTTGAATCCTGCTCAATGCTCAACTTGCCTCGCGGGGTCACACCCATTAGGACAGTGGGAGGGTTAAAAAGGATCAAACAAGTTTAAAACCACAAAGAAGATGTTAAATATGTTAAATGTGGAGATATAAAACGCTTTCGTCCAATTCATATTAAACAAGGTAGTAGCATTTCTACTGGTAAACTTCTAAAGCTTGAATCAAGTGTATATTTGCATATCATTTTCAGAAAGCCACCATTTTCTAATACTCTGTCCTGATTCCACAGAGCTCATGGTCCTGATGCAATGATGCTGGTTGATGGGCAGCCTCTTCAAACCAATGGCGAGCTGGGTCTGGTCCAGATGCTTCAGATAGCAAGTCAAATTGCAGCTGGGATGATTTACTTGGCATCTCAACACTTTGTGCATCGTGATCTGGCAACCAGAAACTGCTTGGTGGGAAATGGCCTTCTGGTGAAAATAGGAGATTTTGGCATGTCCAGAGATATTTACAGTACTGATTACTACCGGGTGAGAACACATCCCACTGCTCATCCATTTTAAACGTATGTCAGTGACTCTTTCTCAGTACTAGTTGGTTTTAAATCAGAACTAAATTAAAGGTGTCCAAAAAATATAATGTGAAAATAATTTAAAAGGTCCGAAAATTAGGGTTAGGGTTGATGTTTTATCTCCACAAATAGCTCAAGGCTAGATTAATTCTGCTGTGTGGTGGAGTTGCTAATGCTAAAGGTTGCTTATAAAAGTCAGTTCTCTGCTGTTTCTTGGACGCTAAACCAACAACCTTCCCCGTCGTGAGTCAAGATGGGTGAGTCCATGAATGTTAAGTGACAGTGTGATGTAGGTCTGTCAGGCTTTTCTAATCCCAGAGTTTCACCGTCTATTTCCTATCAGAAGCTAAGTATAGGAGACTATTTTCATGTTCAGCCTGCATGAAAAACTCAGCATTGCTGTTGTTAAATCAAAAGAGAGATGTCCAAATATCAGGAAATATGACTCCAAAACCTGCCATCTGAAGCTACTGTCTCCTCCGGCTGACTTGTACCTCCTGAATCAGGTGTATCTGAGCCTTTTAACCCCCGTAGTACAACTTACAAGGCATTCATTCCTACTAGAGACCAGACGTATCGACTCAACGAGTAAACCACACCTTTAAGTGCTAGAAATAAAGCAAGGTAGGGATTGTTTAGGTGCATTGATTACCATTTTATATTTGACTGGTTAGAAATGACTAATTGTGAGTGCGATATGGACAAACCAGAAGGTATAGCTTCTAATAAACAGAAGCATCAGCTGATTAATAAATTGAAGTGACATGCTCAAACTTTTACTCACCCACTTTGTTTCTTTCATCCAATCTCGTGTGTGTGTGTGTGTGTGTGCGTGTGTGTGTGTGTGTGTGTGTGTGTGTGTGTGTGTGTGTGTGTGTGTGTGTGTGTGTGTGTGTGTGTGTGTGTGTGTGTGTGTGTGTAGGTGGGAGGTCACACAATGCTGCCTATTCGTTGGATGCCTCCAGAAAGTATTATGTACAGGAAGTTCACCACAGAGAGTGATGTGTGGAGCTTTGGAGTGATTCTGTGGGAGATCTTCACGTATGGCAAACAGCCGTGGTTTCAGCTTGCCAATAATGAGGTACAGAATACAAACGTACCACATCTGTCCATGAATAATCACATTAATAATTTATATCAAGGGTATCCGAATGATTTATGATCATACATTTCCATTTACAGCTAAACAAAACCTCTCCACACTAAAGACCATGTGTGCTAATGTATTTATTATTGTTTTTTTACCTCCTGTTTTCAGGTGATTGAGTGCATTACTCAGGGGAGGGTACTGGAGCGGCCCAGACTTTGCCCAAAGGACATCTATGACATAATGCTGGGCTGCTGGCAGAGGGAGCCTCAGCAGCGACTCATCATCAAGGATATCCAACAGAAGCTGTTTGCGTTAATGAAAGCTGCCCCAGTTTACCTGGACATACTGGGATAGACACGAACCTACTGGAGCAGACTCATGTGGACCCACATCATCCGTTTAGTCGTCATGGAGCCATGGAACAAGCCCTCTCATGAATGGACTGGATTATGTAAAACTGTGATATAGATTCTTTTTTTACTTGAACTCATAAATCAAAATACACTAAATACTGGTATTCGTTACTGTAATAACCCAATATGTTGGTGCTTGATATGTTCATGTTAAAATGTTGTTGAAGATGCAGTCAAAGCCACCGGTGACTTCTCTGGTACAGTGTGATGGTGTCAGAGGAAGTGATGTTCCGGCTCTAAACTTCAGCCACGTCACCGACTCAAACGTGTACCCACAAGGTGTTTGGCTCTGACCCTGGCTCTAACCAGGTGTTTCAGTTTAAAAACCCAAACAAATATTTTACTAGGCAAACCCAGAACTGAATGACCATAACTTTACATTCAGTGAGCGGAAGAACATTCCATCCAGCATTCTCAGTCCAAAGAGTCTGAGTGTCACACCCTGTCCTGTCTCCCTGTTTGGTTCAACCTTGTGTCTCATTAATTACTCCCACCTGCCTCTCGTTTTCCCAATCACCTTAGCTCCGCTCCACTCCGCAGCACGTCTGACAGAGGTCGGTTCATTCTGTCAGACGTGCTGCGGAGTGGAGTGGAGCGGAGCTAAGGCGGGGATCCAGACCGGGGAGGAAGAAGGCAGACAGGTAAGATTCACTACACAGATTTATTAGGACGCACGCTGGACAATGAAACAATGAACCGACACAAGACACAGAACAGAAGGGGTTTAAATACAGGAGGACCGGGAGCTAAGGTGATTGGGAAAACGAGAGGCAGGTGGGAGTAATTAACGAGACACAAGGCTGAACCAAACAGGGAGACAGGACAGGGTGTGACACTGAGCTCTTCCTGGTCTGTAGGCTTCAACTGAGACCATCCTGATGGGACTTAATGAGAAGCAATTCCTTTTCACATGGATCTCACGCTACGCAGGACTTCAGGATACCCTCAGACCTTCCTGTACACCTTTTGAATACTCAGATGTGTTTTCCAGCATGATGTGTACCTTAGTGGCTGGTTGGTTTCAGACAAAAAAACCAACTGAAAAGTAAAAAGTGAATATTAATTAGGTAATAAAAGAACAAAGTTTTATATCATTGTGACTTATGGAAATGTTTACATATTTCTGTTCCAACATGTTGCTCATAAAGATGTGAGTTTGTACGACTGAATGTAAGTTTACATCTTTTGGCCTGACCCAACGCTGTTGCAGCATTACATAATAGAGCGGATTCTGAGTAGGATGGGTTGTCCCTCTCCAGGTTTTTCTGGCACTAGGAGGTGACACCCGAGGCAGACTCAGAACTCTGGAGAGATGTCCTCTGTGGTTCGGGAATGCTCTGGGGTCCATCAGGAGGAACAGGAGAGTGTTGCTGGGGTGATAAATGTCCCATCCTCCCTCCTGGATGGATGGTGATACAAGGTGTTTAGACAGGCCTCGCCTTCCCCGTCACACTTGTAAATGATCAAATTCAATAAGCATTCAGATGCACGTGGTCTAAGATTTCAGCTGCTCAGCAGTTTGTTGATGCTTCCTTCTCTTCCTGATGCATTCTCATTAGGAGACAAGTCTGGGCTGCAGACCAGCCACTTCAGACCAGACTGCATGAAGCCATCTGGGGAGAGGCCTGGCATTGCTTTGCTGAAGGCACATTAGGTGTCTCTGTGGTAAATTTATGAAACCTTTTAATGAAGGCAGAAGGGATTTTCACTACTTTTCTTCCATCCAGAACCCAAAAACCCAGCAAAAACATGAACTAAAGAACACGTCCACTGTCTCCAACCTGGCGTGAGCACTGAGGTGATCCTACAATCAGAATATTTTTTGGAGAATTGATCTTTAATATTCGGGCTCAGAGTTTTGGATGCAGTAGACTATGCTGCTCTCAGCTTTCCTGGTTGGGCCTTTACACTGGGGGTTTTTCCCAGATTTTCCCACTCTTTATGAATCCTTAAAATGTCATGCTGTGTAAATGTTAAGAAAACTAAAGTTATTTGTAATTTTGCACTGAAAACCCCTCTTAATTCTTGTACTTGTATCTCCTAAATAAAGATTCAAACTAAATTAGATAACGTGATAGTTTTTTATTTTATTTTTTTGCATTTTAGTGATCTTCAGATTTTTATTATATATAAGAAGTATTGTTTGTACTGTGTTTCCCAGTTGTAGTACATTTTTGTCCCCAACTGTGTGGTCTTACTTCATCCCATTAAAAAATGCTTCGGACTCTAGTAAACACAAGTTTAACTTTGTAAAAGATCTACAGGGTGGACTATTTTTATATGGATAGACCTTAATAAAGTGGGAATGGTTGGTATTAATAACGTCCTGTTTGTGGCACATTAGTATATGTGAGGGGGCAAACTTTTCAAGATTGGTGGTGACCACGGTGGCCATTTTGAAGTTGGCCATCTTGGATCCAACTTTTGTTTTTTTCAATAGGAAGAGGGTCATATGACACATCAAACTTATTGGGAATTTCACAAGAAAAACAACAGTGTGCTTGATGTTAACATAACATTATTCTTTCATGAGGAATTTACAAGTTTCTGACCACTTATAAAATGTGTTCAATGTGCTGCCCATTGTGTTGGATTGTCATTGCAGCCCTCTTCTCCTGCTCTTCTCACGCTGATAGCAACATCACAGGAGAAAAGCCAGCCTAGGCTTCCAGTATCCGTAGTTTCAAGTGCTGCACATCTTGTATCTTCACACCATAGAAAATTGCCTTCATATGACCCCAAAGATAAAAGTCTAAGGGCGTCAGAGCAGGAGACCTTGGGAGCCATTCGACTGGCCCACGACAACCAATCCACCTTCCAGGAAACTGTTCATCTAGGAATGCTCGGACCTCATGAAAGAATAAAGTTACATTCAAACCAAGCACACCATTGTTTTTCTTGTGAAATTCCCAATAAGTCTGATGTGTCACACAACTCTCTTCCTATTGAAAAAACAAAAGTTGGATCCAAGATGGCAGATGTCAAAATGGCCACCGTGGTCACCACCCATCTTGAAAAGTTTGCCCCCTCATATATACTAATGTGCCACAAACAGGACGTTAATATCACCAACCATCCCCATTTTATTAAGGTGTATCCATATAAATGGCACACACTGTACATAACCTCCCAATTGTCATTTATAAAAATGATCAATTACTAAATTATTAAATCTATATTGCTTTTATCATTGTTTAGGAAAACCCAACCAGGGACAGGAGTTGGAAATTAGCATTTGCTATAAACTCTGAATGCGCCGCTACATCTTGCACTATGCTGGATAGCAATGTCACTGTCAAATAAAGATTAAATCAAATCAACCAATCAAATAAAAATCAAAAATACTAATGGTAAACATTAGCTAAACAGTGTAGTTAATCAAATCCCACTTTTTGGGACATTAAGAAGTCTCCAGGGAGCAGCAAATAGCCCAGTGTGTCATGGTGTGTAATGACTGGACTTGAAAACCTGCAAGGACCCCAAGGAACAGTAAGGCACTTTAAAAGACTTTAATAGCAAAAACCTAAGATGTGGCGTTACCCGTAGAGGGTGAGGGTGGAGACAGAGTCGGTGAACAGGCGAGGGTCGTGGAGGCAGGCAGAGTTCTTGGCGAGGGTCAGGCGTGGAAACGAGGTTGGGAGGCTATGATCAGGCAGGATGAAAAGGGCTGGAAGATTTACTAGCAGATATTTATTATGTAAATATATTTTATTTAAAAAATCTAGTGGTGTGCCATTGTTTAATTTTATATATTCCTTAGGGATGCTCAGATCTGATCATATGATTGGAAATCAGGCCAGATCATGTGATTTTCAAACAATCGGAATCAGGTGGGAAAGAGTCACATTTTTCCTTCTGTGATGGCACGGACATATTCCATGATGACAATGCCAGGATTCATTAATCAATCAAATTTTATTTGTGTAGCGCCTACCACTGCCTTTACAGAAGCCCAAAAATCTGAACATGACATAAAAACAGTAAAAGAGCAAAATGACAAACAAACATATTAAAAACCGCATTACATAATTACTAATATGATAAGAGAAACACAATAAAAGAGATATGATAAAAGAGTAAAATGCGCACAGCGTCCCCCGGTCCCCTCCTCCTCCCCCTTGTCCGGAACTCTACCTCACCAGTCTGAAGCAGCCACCCTGTCCGTAACAAGTCCGGACCTGTTACTACGGGCTTCGTCCGGTTAAATTCCGGAACACGTTATCCGGATGTTTGTATTCAGACACGAAGGTCTTACGGACAGAGTCTGGAACATTTCCGTTTTTCATGGCCTGTCTGAAGGGAGCTCTAGATGGGTTGGGAAAGTAGCGTATTTCGGCGGTTTTAGCTTTCCACAGACCGCTGCCGTGGGTCACCTCCCGTGTGTCAGGTAATAAATGCGACAGCGACAAATTTCGCTGATCGCGGCCATTTTCGCCTCCCTTGTGTCGAGCCCATAAGGCAATCAAAGATTTTTTCCGTGCCTCTACACTTAGCACCTCAGTTACAGTCTCAGCGAAACTGCATTTTCAAGACCCTCAGTTGTAGAGGTTCACCATGAAATGCTACCGATAAGCCGGCTTTTTAATATTCAGAGCTCTTAAAGGTCATTACTATGGCAGAATGTGGGTGTGTAGAAGGTGGGATATGATCCAAACACCTGCAAATAGAAGAGTGTTATTCATGAAGCAGGACATGTCTGTGTGTATTCAGTGTTTTTTGCATCAGTAAGTCATTTTATTACCAAGCTTTAGTTTAGTTTAATTTTCCATACAAAGGTTAATAAATGAAGCCCCTGGTGTCTGACAGAAAACACCACAAAACAAATAATTATGCAAATAAATTATCATCACTAATATTTATTATTAGACTCAAACGACAGGCTTTTTTCACACATTTTAAATCGTATCTAGTTGTTGTAGTCGTAACAGTAAAATGATGAAGTAAGTGAATATTTCATGTCAGATGCATAATTCGAGTTCCACCTACACGTTCACTCAGGTTCTGATGCTGATGAGAGCAGAGTGAGCAGAAATTGTAAATATGAAGAGTCCTGTGGTGCTCTGGTGCTGCTGGCCATCATCTAAGACACACAATCCCTCTGTTGCACAAACTGCTATCAGTCAGGTGGTCAATAATTCAAGAGATTTTGGAGACATCCATCTGTGTCGTTTCGAGCTTCTCACATAGCAGCACAGACTGAATTATGTTAAATGCCCTGGGGAAATCTTAGAACATGATCCAGTGCTATTCCCACTTGTCCAGATGGGAGTGGGCTTGGTGAAGTGGCTACAAAATAATACATTTCAGATTCTGACTATATTACATAAACTTAACATAACAGTAAATGTGTTTTTATTTAAAACTATTTCTAAGATCATGTGATGACAATGTCACATAAACCAACACACTCTTTCAGCCCTTGGTGTGTCTCTAGTTTCTCCTGGACCTTTTTCTGATGGTCCTTTCACCTGGGACCTCTGTATCCATCACCCCTGACTTCCTATACATTTCATCACCTGTTTATAAGTCTGAATCTGGTCTTGTATGGTTGTACCATTCCAGCCAGTTGGTTATGGTGCTCTGTGTGCGCAGTTGCTGCCTATATTTACATCCTACTTTTATGTGCTGGACTGTCTCAGGCATCACTGAAGAGTAAGTAACCTGGTCTCTATTGTTCTTGTGCTGGCCATGACCAAAGCTTTTATACCATCCTTCCAGTCAGCCTTTTCTAGTCACTTGCAGGATTTGTGAATACCATCTACTTCCTCAGTCATCCTGTGGAGCATGCCAGGCCTTATCCTTCTAAGCCAGATCCTCCTGCCCCTCCATTTTTGAGCTTCTGCTGCCTGAGACATTTACTCTGCAGTTCATAAAAACAACCAGATACTTAGCTTAACTTTCACATTTGAATCAATTCGGTATCAATTCCCGGTACTTAACGGTCCCAATTTTTAATACTTTTGAGTTTTTAATAAGTGATTAATCCTCTTTTTTAAATTAACATTTTTTCTCAATATATAACCATATTTAATAAATATCATGATAAATAATATAAAAACTGTATTTAATCACCGTAGGGCTGTACAAATTCTTCAATGAGATCCTAAAACCCCAACTGTTTGTAAATGATACAAAAATTCAAACCCAGCTGCGTGTACTCCTATTCCTCTTCTATTCCCTCATGATGAGTAGACCATGTATTATAAACTACAAATGAAGTTATCTTTATTTCTAATTTATATTGATAATTTATAACAATTATCTTAGGAAATCAGGTATTCAATGCTAGAGTATAAGTGGCAAAAGGTACAGAAACAAGGCATTGTTTCATATCACGTGAATCGGTCCTTGGTCGGTACCACTGAATTCGGTGGTACCGACCAAATACGGTCGGAACCACCGAAGTACCAAATACGGTACCCCTCCCTACATTGTACATTCCACTTTTACACTTGAATCTGAGATATTTTTTCATAATGACATAATGATGTTCAGATACCTGTCTGATTATGTGGAGCACCCCCAATATGTATGTATGTTCAGATACCTGTCTGCTCGACCCTTGAGATGAGGATCCAGTGGTATGAGAACTGAGTTACCACGGTCTAGTATACAACAAATATAATTTAAAAACAGCTGTACTCTGATATTTTATTGTTTTAACAATTAGCTGGGTCTGCATGCATTTTTACCAGCTCACACACAGATAATTATATTATTAAAAGATATATTTTTAAAGTTGTGCTCTAAAAGCAAATTCAGTGGAAACAATGTCAATGTGTATGATAAAAACAAATTCATAGATGCTTTGTGTTTGTGCCTCAGTCACCAGCATCAGTTGGTATTCATTTTACATGACCCAGAATTCCCCCTCGGCTAAAAAGGGCTTTTAGACTACTAAATAATTCACTGTTCACAAATTATAAGAACAGATTTCATACCAGATGTTCAAGTTTCATATTTTGTTTGGTAAAAACCTGATATATGTTCTGCAGAGCCTCAAAGGAGCGGCCTCCTGTTCGTTATGTCTCTTATCGCCATCTCTTTCTACAGTCTTGTCCTCTGTAATGTGATGCTCACAGCATGTGTGTGTGTGTGTGTGTGTGTGTGTGTGTGTGTGTGTGTGTGTGCGTGCGTGCGTGTGTGTGTGTGTGTGTGTGTGTGTGTGTGTGTGTGTGTGCGTGCGCGTGTTGGGGGTGCTCCACATAAACTCCCTAATCTCTGACATCACTGCAGGCTACAGTTCCACAGGCATTTTACATATAAATGTATCTTCATTAAGGCCAATTACAAAATGATAAATTTTATTATAGATTTTTTTGTAGAGTAAAATATATGTACACAATAAAAATGTTTATGAATCAGGTTCTCACTAATTATGCCATGTGGTTGTTTTTAGATTATTATTTTTAATTTTAGGTCATTGCCCTTGAGTTTAATTAGCTTCTTTTTACCTTCAACTGATTATTCAGACTTTTGTTTTAATTATTTTGTTCCTCTGATGAAACATTTTATTTTAATTACAGTGTTGTGTTCTGAACACAGGGGTCAGTATACTCCCTATGCTCTCGTGTGTGGCAGAACGTGCTACAGACCCCACCTCGTGTCCCCTGGCTGCAGCCAACCCTCCTTCTCTACCCATGGCTAACAAGCAGTCAGTGATTGCTCACCATGAGCTGGTAGCTAAGCGTCAGCAAGCTTGTTTACAGCGCTGCTCCCATATCCATGTTACACCAGACCTCCCAGCTGATGTCACCCTTACTCCATGTCTAAATCAGTGACAGCGTCAAGGTCTGAAAGAACTAGCTTGCTTCCTTTGGGACTGGTAGGTTGTTAAACAGTCATAACTAAATGCTTTTTTTAAATCAGTCAAGTAGTTACATGCTTTGTGTGGGTTAGGCTAGAGGGATTGGAAATTTCTTTTGTGCATTTATTTTGTGTTTCTTCTGACTGTATTACTTGGTTCTTTTTTTAACACAGGAAAAGGGTTGTTTTACCTTTAATGTTTTGGCCACCACTGTGGTCTTCCTCTGAGCTTGCCACTGTTGGCGGAGGAGGAAGTGACACTGCTAACAGCTTCCTTCTCCATATACGTCATCAGTGAGAGGAATTCTAGCTCTTCGTCAGCCATGTTTGACTGAATAGCTTTGTTTGGGTAAATGACGCATGTACGCCCGCCGCCGTTTACGCAATACCCAGGTACAGCCTTCCCGCCCCCTCCCCCTCAGACATCTGGAACTTTTCCCTGCTGTATAAAGGTAGCCGAAAGGACAAGTTCAGGTACAAAAGCGGTGTGTCTGAAAACACAGTTCTGGTTAAAAACCGGACTGAATTGTCCACACATATTCCAGATTGTCAATCTGAAAAGGGCTCAACAGTGGCGAGCTCTGTGGATGTCCGCAGGGCTGTTCTTCACTTTATCAAACTCAGAGTTTGTACAGCTAATGTCAAAATGTAAAACTATAAATTCAGTCGAGCTCTTCCCTCCCTCTCCTGTTTCTCCTTAAATCCAACATCGGCTGTCGGGTTTAAGGAGAAACAGGAGAGGGAGGGGAAGAAGGAAATGAGGCAAACAGAGTGAGTGTGACGTAGAGAAACCAGACTGGTGTGGAGGTGAGCAAAACGGCTGGAAAAGTGTGGGTGTTGAATCCCCCCACATCCCCCACGGGTGCGACGCCCATGACTCACACCCAGGTCTTTTGACTGTCTGTATGTAAATGTTGTTGATGCCTTGCAATTTCCTGCACCAAACAGGGCGAGTGAGGGAGTCAGACACCATTGGAGGCTGGTGTCCAGCTAATAGCAGGCGGGGATCTCATCATATGCGGCTTAGGAGTGTTGGACATGACCTAACCCTAACCTGACAAACTTGACATGTCTTTCTATTTAAGTGTTACTGAAACTAAGTACAACAACGTCGTAGCTATTCTCTTCTTCTTCTTAGTTGAATTGGCAGACTTCATGCTTCCAGGGTGCGCTGCTGCCATCGGCTGTTTCTTTCAGTTTACAGTCAAAGTGTGTGATGCGGAGCTCGTATGTCCCTAAACAGCTACTGTATTTCAAGATGGCACTTGACCATGGAGAATCGTCCACAGTTTATTTAAAATAATACATTTTCATTCAACTGTTTTCATTATTATAAGTATTAATTGATAATAAAAGATATTTATAAGACAATAAATGAAACCTGTGCGCAAAAAGGAATTGATTATAAAATGAGCAGTTAAACTGCAGTTACATTTTGGATTTATTTATTTATCTTTTTAAAAAGTCAACCTAAATGTTTTTCCAAAAGTAAAACACTAAGCAGTGAGTTTTGGTCCTCATGAGGGTAACTAACTGGTCCTGACAAGTAGAAACGATCCTGATGAAGAAACACACAGGAAGACAACATGAGACTGTGGTAGTGATTGGGCCTGTGGGACTTGGCACTTAAAGAGCATTTCACTGGAGCGATCGATGCAATCCTCCTCCTGACAAACTTCATTACAGCAGCTGTAACAATATCTGTGTCCTTCTGTCATAACATGCATTATTGGTGGAAGGTGGAAACATTTTGTTCCAAAAGCTTGTAATTAAATTGGACTCAGTGAGGTCCTTATACACAGCAAATCAAAGTGTCAGTGTAACACATTTTATACACATTACTAGCTTACAGTGGGTTATATTTGATAAAAGGTGGGAAAAAAACTAAAATAAAACCAGGACAACTAAAAGATTGAAGGATAAAAACAGTTAATACTGATTTATCAAATTGTGAGCCCTTATTCTTACTAAAGAATCAGACAGAAGGTGGACAGCCTGGGCAGGGTCTGGACCAAGGTATGGAGAAACATCTGGACCAGAGTCTGAAGAATTTGTCCCGGTGTCTACCTGAAAGATACATTAAAAACTGTACATAACATAACAATATTTGAGTTTGCACAAACTTTCTATAGTGACTTGGTGAATTGGTTTGTGCAGAGGCCTACAGTGCTGGGTCCTAAGTGGTGGGGTGTGTCCATAGAAGGTCCACCCAAGAGTCTTGGTCACACACTGAGACAGGACTGGTCTTGACTAAGCTATCACCCCCTCACACCATCACACAGAGTGATGCAGCATTCTGATGTGGTCCAAGTCAATTCAAGACAGAGTGTGCCGGCTCGTTCACATACACGAGAGACACGAGCATTCCTTTTACTGATGTTTAATGCGGTCTTGCATCTTCTTAATCTTTACACCACACGAACACCGTAGAACTAATGAAAAAGCATAAATCATGTACAAATTAACAAGTTAGTTGCCTTAAGTTTGCTAACACACAGAGTTAATAAATAAAGAATAAACATACCACTTTGGCCTGCTAGTAGACAAACCGGTAGACTTGAAAACACAACCTTCTTCTCAAATGTTCTTAATTGCCACAAAAATGCACTTAGCAAAGCCTTGATGAATTAACTGGGATACGGCAGTAGTAGCTCGCTGAAATGTAAACACATCTGTTTATTGAAAGGACATATTGTTTTGGCCATATCACCATGGCTACACTAAACCCAGTCCTCAGGGTGAAAGAACAAAGTTTGTGAATGCTTTAATTTTATAATCCATTTGCATATTTGCTAAAACCCACCTTAACTGAGAACCCATAAATTACTCAATAACTATGGGATTAGATTTGTGCCAATACGATCAAGAAAAAACACTTTGGAGATCAAACAAATATTAAGACATTGAGAGAAAAAAATTGTTTCAAAAGAAAAACTTACTATCTGAATCAGATTCTTAAAATGATCAAGAAAAACACTTACGGTCAAACAATAATTAAGAAATTTACAGAACAAAAATGTTGACTAAAGGAAAAAAAATTGTTTCAAAAGAAAAACTTACTATCTGAATCAACTTCTTCAAATGAGTAACAAAGTATGTTTCCTTTTTCTGTTTGCCTTTATGTGTTTTTGTTATCAGTTTCCTTTGTTTCATTCTCGCTGCTCACAGCTTTGCTCTCACTACCAGATTTGCACTTACACTTTCTGGCTTTCTCCTTTGCAATCCCTGAGTTTTTGGTTGCAATTCTGACACAACCCTTTCGGGTGGGTGGGACTTCTGAGAAGTCCTCTCCCATAGGACAATGGTTTCTCTAGAGTGACAGTTCAGTGACCTGGAAGTGATGTAGCCTCAAATACTTTTTTTCCCCCACCTCAGTCAACAGCATAAATTTTGAGCCCCATACACGTTATTTCTGCTGTCTGTGGTGTCTACTGAGGATCTAAAGTGAGTATTGATAATATATTTTATCTTTTCTTAGTTAATCTGTAAGTTAAGCCACTTTTTAAGTTGATTTTAACCAGACGTTAGCTCACTAGCTAGCTGCTAAGCAAGCCATTGTGCTAGCCTCAAGGCAAGCACAATGGCTTGCTTAGCAGCAACTCATCTTAACATATTCATTACTGGTTTCATGGAATTAATTATTGCAGTTTATGTTAATAAGTTTGCTAATTTTTCAGGAATCTGTGGAACATTAGAGACTTTGCAGCTACTGGAGCTAACCTGTGTACAGCTAACTCGCTACAGAGGAAGCAGCAGAAAGCTGAGGTAACAGGCTGTTTTGCAGGTAAATACTCTTTTAGTGGAACTGCAGGATTTTTATGGTATAACTCAGATAGAATCTACATGAGCTATTGTGGGAAGACATTTACTACATTTACATACAGATACATGTATTTTTTTTCCCATGTTACTTGGACAGGCTAAACAAGTTCATAGTTCTGCCTGTTCCTTTTTCAGTGAAACGAATGGATTATATGATGTAACTCTGACTGAAAAATTATCTAAGTGAGTATGTTTGAAAATAAATTTCTTACCAGTGTACAGATCTGACATTTGTTTGTCAGAACAGGACAAATCAGATTCAATGTGCTTTCTGTCGCCCTAAATCAGATCCATATCTGATGTTTTTATTACTTAAGTTTGTATGAACAGTACATTTGATACCACTTTTACATCTCTGAAGTGAAACAGATCACATAAGCGCTTGAGGAAGTGGGACACAAAATGTAAACAATGGATAAAACAAAATGATATATTTTGTGAGGTACTGGTTAGAGATAGTTGGGAAGCACTGATCTAGGTAATGCACCACAAGCATTTTAATTTTACAAGCTTGTTTGGCATCAAAATAATTAGAACCCTCTTCTTTTTCTGTCACACCTAATACATAAATAAACACACACCAATTTCTGTCACCGCTGATGCCTTCATTAAATCTAATAAAATCTATAGTAACTATAGTCTGGTGACTAGTGTCTAGTTTAGCTACATGTAGCTTAGCTGGAGTAATATAGTCTGACTCTGCCTCAACTGGTGACTTTTCTACTTCATTGTCAGCCAGACAAAATGTTGCTACAGAGAAACGCCCAAGGTACTGACCCCACAATGAGAAAATCATAATGTCCACATTTATTTCACACAATCTCAAACGTCACACTAAAATTAAACTCTTTGCTCTGATTTAATTATTTCCTTATTGATATCAGTTTTCCCTTTGTTGTAGGTAATCCTCGGGTGTCAGCAGGAGGAGGTGACCACCTGCATAACGGAGCACCCTGGTTCTGAGACAGTTGCACCTTTGTGCAGCTCTTTGGGGAGACGATGCTCAGCAGGTTAAACAACTGTAAAATTGATTTTGTTCGTAGTTTTTGTTTAGAACTCATACATCACCAGTTTTTCTTTCTTACAGACACATGCCTCCGTGTGGTTAGGTGTGTTGGTGTGATCTGGGAGGGCACACTCATGTCATCATCTCCTTGTGCCGTCTCCAGGATCATGATGGGAGTTCTCTGTGCCTATAAAGCAGGGGTATTTACTTCTGGGCCTGGAGGGCCGGTATCCAGCATGTTTTAGTTTTAACTCTGTTTCAACACACCTGATTTCAGTCAGCAGATAATTAACAGGCTTCTGCAGAGCTGCTGCACAGGTAATTCAACCACTGATTCAAGTGTGTTGGAGCAGGGAAACAACTAAAACGTGCTGGATACCAGCTATATGGATGCTGCTATAAAGCCTTCCTCCCTCCTCTGGAATTTAAACATTAGTATTTTATTATGGTTTCCTGATTTGGTAAATAAATCTCAATTTATAAATTCCCTGTTTTGGTGCCTGTCCATAAAATCCTGCATTAGACACTGAAAGCTGAATGGATGCCTTTCATTCACTTTGACATTCAACGTATTTTCAAAGATACACTTGAAATTAATATCAGCTGTTTAACAGAGTGGTGCAATTGCTAATGTCATGATTTTTGCAATAACCTGACCTTCATGCAGAGAATCTCAGGAGACAAATGAGCTAAAACAGTTTATTAAAATGTTTGACGGATGCCTGAAGAGGTAACTGCTGGAGATCAGGAACCAGAAGCTTCTGCGAGGAAGAGCAGAGGTTAGTAAGAGGCAACAGGCTAACGTCTGGTTAAAACCAACTTGTGGCAGGGGTGATGAGTGAGCACCACCTCACCCCTGCCACGTGGACCTCAAGGGATAAACCATCAATCCTGCTCCATGGTCAACTTTCCTCACGGGATCGCCCATGAAGACAGTGGGAGAGTTAAAGAAACACAGACATTTCAAAATCCTCATTTAAACCTAGTGGTTGAAGTGTTTTCAACGTGTAGATCCAGAACAGTTCCCTTTGGCAGAGTTTTTTTTTTTTATCTATATCACCTCCTCTATGTAATGAAATATGTTCAATCCCCTGGAATCTGAGTGAAGACATAGGGTGTGAAAAGTCATTGAAATGGCTTGCTACTGGATAAGTCAAGTCTTTTCTTCCAATTGAACTCTTATGTTCACTGATCCTCTGTTTGAGTGGCCTTGTTGTTTTACCAATATAGACTTTATCACGGGCCTTTTAACAAATACATTACATTCTTTGAGTTACAAGTAATTATGCCCTTAACATAGCAACTGGGATGAGGATCAGCACCTCCAAATCTGAGACCATGGCTCTCGACCGGAAAAGTGTGGCTTGCCAACTCCGGGTCGGGGCAGAGGTCCTACCTCAAATGGAGGAGTTTAAGTATCTCGGGGTCTTGTTCATGAGTGAGGGTAGGAGGGATCGGGAGATCAACAGGCGGATTGGTTCAGCGTCTGCAGTGACCAGTCTGACCCTGGTGGGGATGAGCTACAAAGTAGCCACAGCTGCCCTGGGGCGGACTGACAGAGGCAAGGAGCACAGGTGCCGCCGGTCCCGCTGACCACCACCAGTAATTAGGCAAGGGGGGTTAAGTGTCTTGCCCAAAGACACAATGACAGCGACAAACTGAGCGGGGCTCTAACCTGCAAGCTTCTGATTACGTGGTGAGCACTTTACTCCTGTGCCACCGTCACCACACAATTCAGTTTTATTTGCATGTTTTGCCAGTATGATAAGCAAATCTGATTTCTAAAGGCTGACACAAGTAAGGTTTCACCTAGAAAGAATGAGTATTCGCCTTGTTTTCAGGTTTTTAGGTGACACTCCCGGTCGTATCTAAAATAGCTGAGAAGTGGGTGGTTAAACTCCTCACTGCTCACCTAGAAAACACCCAACCCTCATTACAACCATTGCAGTTTGGCTTTCGGGCACATCATTCCACAGATACTGCCCTGTGTATGTTAGTGGAGAACGTGAAGAGCTTGCTGGACAAGAGTTGCTGTGTTGGAGCTATATTTTTAGATCTGAAGAAGGCTTTCGACTCTGTAAACCTTCAGATATTGTTGTCCAGATTGACTCAGTTTAATATCTCCAGTCAGACACTTCAGTGGTTTGCCTCATATCTCTCACACAGGAAACAGTGTGTGGTGTGGGATGGGGTTAAATCTCCATATTTGGACTGTGATACAGGAGTTCCTCAAGGATCTGTTCTTGGGCCTTTATTGTTCTCGCTTTTTATTAATAACTTACCTGAAGTCTGTCCAAATATATTTGCTCAAATGTATGCGGATGATGATTTTTCAAAACGCCCCTTAAACTTGAAGCAGTCAAATATAATCCTGGATGGAGTAGAGCTTGATCTAGTACCAGAATTTAAATAGCTTGTGGTCATTCTAGACCCTACATTATCCTTCAAGAGTCATATAATCAAAGTGTCCCAGGTACTTAAATTTGATAATCGAAATTTTACTCATATACGTAATAATCTAAATATGAATGTTGCAAAAACGTTATTTTTACTCAATGATCATCTTTCATATGGACTATTGTTTGACATCCTGGTAACTTGCTTGTCCAACAACACTTAAAACTATAGCAAACATTTATAAAAGAAGTTTAAAATTACTTGACGAAAAACCGACTTCCCACCACCATTGTCATGTGTTACAAAACATAAATTACTGAACTTCAATAACTTAATGAAACTTAAAAGAGTCTGTTTAATATATAAAGTCTTACACTCCCTTGCTCCACCACCACTAAAGCAGTTCATTAGGCATGAAGAAAGCTCAAACTGTCATGTCCCTGGGATGGTGTTTAACCCACGACATGAAGAATCATCACATGACAAAGAAGAAAGTTCAAACAATGATTTATTTAACCTAACTAAAAGTGTCCTGGAAATATCCAAGTACAACGAAGCCGGCACGAGTCCAGAAGCCAGCAGGGAGGGCAAATGGTGTGACGGGGTGTCCAGGAGAGGGAGCCAGATGATGGCGGCAGAGGGCAGTGGAGAAGGAGGAGAGGCAAACCTTGAGAATTGTAATCCAGGCGGGTTATGGTGACTTCCAGGTAGGTACATCCAACAATGGTTCAGAGATTCCAAGTATCCTGAAGATGAAACAGACGTGAGTCCAAAACCAAAAAATCCAAGCACTAAAAAACCAGATAAATCCAAAAACTGTGACAGCACAAATGTCTGAGCAGAGACCAAGCAAAACCTAGAACTGAGTGGCAAGATTCTACCGTGAGTAGTTAATCATCCAGCGATGTGAAGTGGTTCCCTCTCCTCTTAAATAGAGCTCTGCTGCGGTTGATTAGAGGATCTGCAGCTGCCGCTGATCGGTAATGCCCCGCAGCTGGTGAGTGCCCTCTCCTGGAATGACAGTCTTACAAAGATGTTGTGGAGAAGAGGGAGTACTCACCCCGTCACACAACAATGCCCCCCCCTCAACGGACGCCACCTGGTGTCCTAGCAACCGACTCCTCGTAGTCCCAAATGAGGGAATGGTCCATGATGAAGGAGCGCGGGACCCAGGAGCGTTCCTCTGGGCCGTACCCCTCCCAGTCAACCAGGTACTGGACCCCACGACCACGGGGTCGGGAGTCGAGGATACGCCGGACTGAAGACCAGTCCCCCCTTGTAGAGCCGGGCCGGCGGCGGAGGCGCAGGAGCAGGGCAAAGAGGACTGGAACCAACGGGTTTAACCAAGGAAATGTGAAATACAGGGTGTACCTTCATGTTCCTGGGGAGATCCAGCCGAAACGTGGTGGGAGTAGGCGTGTCCAGGACCCTGAAGGGGCCGATGAACCTCGGAGTGAGCTTCCTAGAGGAGGCCTTTAGCGGGATGTCCCGGGAAGACAGCCAAACATCCTGACCCGGAGAGTACAGCGGGGCGGGGCGCCGGTGTCGGTCTGCCAGCTGCTTGTTCCTGGCGGCAGTGCGCTCCAAAGCCGCCCGGGTAGAGGCCCATGCCTGTCTGGCCCCCCTGAGAAACTGCGGGATGGAGACTGAAGCCGAGGACTGCTGTGGAAACAGTGAGGGTTGGTAACCCAGAGATGCCTCAAATGGTGACTGACCGGTGGAGGTGGATACATGGCAGTTGTGAGCATACTCGATCCATGCTAAATGTGTGCTCCAGGTGTTGGGCTGGGAGGAGCAGACACAACGCAGCATGGCGCCCAGCTCTTGGTTTAACCGCTCACACTGCCCATTAGTCGGAGGATGGTGGCCGGAGGTGAGGGCGACCTTGGCGCCCAGAGCTTCTGCGAACTCCTTCCAGACCCGAGCCACAAATTGGGGACCCCGGTCAGACAGAATCTCCGTGGGAATACCATGCAGCCTAAAAACATGCTTCACAAGGAGTTTGGCAGTAACAGTCGAGGAGGGAAGGCCTTTAAGAGGCACCAAATGACATGCTTTTGAAAACCTGTCGACCACAGACATGATACATGTGAAGCCCTGAGATTCTGGAAGACCTACAACAAAATCCAGCGCTATATGCGACCAGGGACGTGACGGATTAGGAAGGGGACAGAGGAGCCCAGCTGGGGCTCGGTGGTCTCCCTTTTGCTGAGCGCACACATGACAAGCTGAAATATAGTTCTTAATGTCTATATACATGGAGGGCCACCAGAAGGTCCGTCGTATCAGAGCTATAGTGCGTCCCACACCTGGATGAATGGAAAACCTTCCTGTGTGTGCCCAATGTATAACCTGCCCCCTAAGCGCCTGAGGAACGAATAGCCTCCCTGGGGGTCCCCCTGGTCCAGGCTCGGTTTTGAGTGCCTCCAAAACCTTGTCCCGGATCTCCCAGGTGATCCCACCTACCACACACGACGAAGGAAGGATGGGTTCGGGCTCGGGTTCTTGGTCTGGTGCATACAGTCTGGATAAGGCATCGGGTTTAGTGTTCTTTGATCCAGGGCGATAAGAAATCTGAAAATTAAAGCGTGAGAAAAACAACGACCACCTGTATTGGCGGGGGTTAAGACGTTTGGCTTCTTTCAGATAGATTAAGTTCTTGTGGTCTGTCCATATTAGGAACGGCTGTTCTGCTCCTTCCAGCCAATGCCTCCATTCCTCGATGGCGAGTTTCACCGCAAGCAGCTCCCGGTCTCACACGTCGTAACGGCTTTCCGTCGGGGACAGCCGCCTGGAGAAAAAGGCACACGGGTGCAGTTTATTGTCCTCGGGCGCTACCTGTGAGAGGACCGCCCCCACCCCGGTCTCAGATGCATCCACCTCTAGCACGAACTGCCTCTGGGGATCGGGTCTGTGGAGGACTGGAGCGGCGGTGAAGCGCCTCTTAAGTTCCTGGAAAGCAGCCTCGCCTTCTGGGGACCAGACAAATGGGCGTTTCACAGACGTTAAGTTAGTTAGCGGTGCGGCTACCTGGCTGTATCCCTTAATGAAGCGCCGGTAAAAGTTCGCAAATCCCAGGAAGCGCTGCAGCTGTTTCCTGGATGAGGGGGTGGGCCACTCCGTGACCCCGCGGACCTTCTCCGGATCCGCTCTGAGCCTCCCGTGTTCCACGATGAACCCGAGGAACTTGACCTGTGGGACATGAAACAAACACTTCTCTGCTTTGACATATAAGCGATTCTCCAACAACCGCTGGAGAACTGCTCTAACATGTTCCACATGCTGTGCAGAGTCCTCTGAAAAAATCAAAATGTCATCTAAATAAACTGTTACAAACTTATTCAGGAAATCGCCCAACACAGAGTTCACAAGCTCCTGGAATACAGCAGGGGCGTTAGTCAACCCAAAAGGCATAACCAAATACTCATAATGTCCAATAGGAGTCTTAAAAGCCGTCTTCCACTCATCCCCTTGCAAAACAAAAGAGCAAAACAATTTCAAGCATCAGCTCAAACAGAAGAAGCTAATCTGCGAAGATTTAGAGAAACGTTTGAACAAAGAAAACGAGCTCCGCCTGACCTGTGAGGAAGAACTCAAAAAAACTAAAGATCAAATGAGTTCAGTGAACGGAAATCTCAAGAAGGAGATCAATGACCTGAAACAGAAGAACTTGGAGCTCAGTCAGACACTGAGAAGTGGTCAGGCTGTAGAAACTAAATCAGAACAGATGTGTGAGGATCTGCAGAAGTTTAAACAGCTGCTCCATGAAAAAATGTCCGTCTGTGAAGAACTTAGCAGCAGTCTGGACATGGAGAAGCAGCTCAGAGTTAGCTACGAGGCTCAGCTGGACTCTAACAGGGCAATAGTCTGTGAGAACTCAGATCTTAAAGAGCAGATCAAAGATCTGACTCAGAGCAACTCAGAACTCAGACTGGTCGTGGAAAACCTGACCGCTGAGAACGCTGCTTCTCACCAGGAGTTGGCTGAACAGCTGGAGAGAGTCAAACATCAACTCCAGGATAAATCTGTCGTCTGTGAAAACCTGGAAACAGGTTTCACCAACGAACAGCAGCTCAGACTCCAGCTGTACCAGCAACTCCAGGAAACATCTGGCCTGTGTGAGAGCCTGGAAAACCAACTTAGAGACGAACAGAAGATCAGACTTGATTTGGAGACTGAGCTTGCCCAAAACAGAGACGTGGGCAGTGAAGGTCATGATGATCTGATGACCAAACTAGAACAGATGGAGGAAAATGAAACTAAACTTGATAGGTTTTTTCGGTATTTAATGTTCCCTTTTGAGTCCTAAAGAATGTCTGTAAAGTCATTGTTGACCTCCAGGTAGATCGGCATAGAAGCAAAAAGCAGCACGAGCAAGAGTTGGGAATCCTGAAGGAACAAGTCTCTGAACTCGAGTCACTGACTACAAATCTGGAAAGTCAAAATCTGATCTTGAGACTAAAGACTGAACGTTTTAACCCAGATCAGCAAACCGAAACGATCAGTGAGCAGAACGTGGATGCTGCAGAAGGAAACAAGCCACAGCCACATACAGTTGTCGCAACACATTCTTACTCCCAGCGCGTCAAAAACAAACGCTTGGTCAGCCACCCTCCGCCTCAGACCCCTGACGCCAAAAGTGCCCTTTTTCGTTACTTGTGTGCAAAAAGGGGTTTTCCCTTTTCTAACTGCAGATCCCAATGCAGCGTAAAACTAACGCGATGGGATGTCCGCAGCCAGGGCAACAAACAAGCTCATTGTGTCTCACCCTAACCTTGTCCTCTTGTTTAACCTTCCCCTCACCCCTATCCTAACCTTAACCCTCTTGCTAGCGAACACGTTAGTGATGTGTCGATCGCTCTAAAAGCCAGCTCTATGAAGTGAACGGCGGGAGCCGCCTCGTCATTGGTCGGGTTTGGACCGAGCCAACGCGAGGGGGAGGTTTCAACTACCACTGTGGAGGTTAAAAGTAGAGGGTATTTGTAACCTCCCCCTCGCCAGATGGTATGTTCTAACGTTCCCCTTGGGCGGCAAATACAAAAATTCACAGTCAGAATGCATGGGAAACAAATGCTTGATCACAGTGAGAGTAATGTTTTAGGTAGCAAGAGGGTTAAGGTTAGGATGAGGGTGAGGGGAAGGTTGTAAATAGTGAAACGTTAAGGTTTAGGTGCGGTTAAATGAGCTGGTTCGGTGCCGCATCAGCGGACATCCCATCGCGTCAGTGTAACGCTGCACTGGGATCTACAGTTAAAAAAGGGAAAAACCCCTATTCGCACATAAGTAACGAAAAAGGGCACTTTAGGCATCAGGGGTCTGACGTGGAGGGTAGCTGACCAAGCATTTGTTTTTGGGGCGCTGGGAGTGAGAATGTGTTAATTGTCGACGCATGACTGTCCGTTGGCCCCTTGTCATCTTCTTCCACATCATTGATGTGAGTGCATACAATGCATTCGTGATGTGGAGAGAGATAAACAAAGACTGGAATGGGGAGAAACTGAGCCGAAGGAGGGTTTTCCTGGAGCACCTTGGTAATGCACTGGTGAAACCTCAGATTGAGAGAAGACCGTGCCTTCCAAGAGCATCAACAGCTGCTGTAGCTGTAGTGAGAGACTTACAGACAGAAACAAGCACCCAAATTCCTCCAGTGGCACAAACAGCCGGCAAGAAGCGTGGTAGGTGCCAGGTATGCCCCACTCTCAATGACTCTAAGACTAGCATGACCTGTTTGAAATGCAAGAAATGTGTCTGCATGGAGCATGCACACACTCTCTGCACATCCTGTGTACAGTAGTGCAAACCAAAAGTTTGACTGTGGGGATAGAGACTGTTCCATGTTCTGCCTGATGTTCTCATTATGATTTTCTGTTTCAGAGATGGGTGAACTTTCAAACATGTAATCCCTAAACACACAAAAAACAAAAACAAAATATAAAAAGCAAATAAATAAATAAATAAATCATAAACTAAAATAAAAGCAAAAAAAAAAAAACCTCTCTTACTCTGCCACTGCCGGTCCCAAGCCCGGATAAAAAAGAGGAGGGGAGAGTTTGACTTTCTAACTATGTGACAAAAAACAGATGAAAATAAATAAATATGTTTACAAGAGGGAAAAGGGGGGTCACCAACATCAGGGTCGCCAACATCAATCATTATGGTTCATTCTGTGAGTATCATGAATGTGCACCCTAAATTAGTAAAGATTTGGATGAAAGATGTGTAAGATACACATGTTTCTGCTATGCTAAATAATGATTTCTCTATAGAACTACAAAGTCCGGCTGGGGGAGGAGAGTACAGGTCTGCACTATGGAAGGGGGCGGAGTTTACAGCTCCTCCTCCAGATTTAAAGAGACAGTACCCAAAAACGGCTCGTTCTCAAGACTCTCCTCATGTGACAGTGTGAGCATCCTATCACAATGTCCCGATTGATCATGTGCCCTGGCTACTTGGCCAAGGGGATGTCCCTTTGGCTGACTAGTTAGAGCGTATGACTCTCACCCGGGAGTCTGGGGATCGAATCCCGCCCGGGCCCTCGTTTACCCACCTTGCCACATTTGGCGTTGTTGGCAGGATCCATGTAGTACTGTCAAGTAGGTCCATGGATGTGAAGTTTGTGGCACCCTGCGCGGGAGCACGAGGACGTGCTTGTAGAAAGAGGGGGGAAGATGTGACAGTGTGAGCATCCTGTCACAATTTCCCAATTGATTATGCGCCCTGGCTACTTGGCCAAGGGGATGTCCCTTTGGTTGACTGGTTAGAGCGTATGACTCTCACCCGGGAGTCTGGGGATCGAATCCCGCCCGGGCCCTCGTTTATCCACATTGCCACACTCAGAACAGGGGTAGATGAGGGTCTGTAGAGCAACAATAATGAGGAAATCAGACCAAAGAACTGCAGCTTGACTGTATTTAGACCCCAACTGAAGGATTTAGATGTAAAAAGGAATAACTTAAAAGCATGTTATGTCTCCTTTAAGATTTTATGACTTTGTCTTATTTTGTTTTGTTCTATGTGAAGCACTTGGCGATTCTATGTCTGTGATAAGTGCTGTAGAAATAACATTTACGTATTACTTACTTTGTAGATCCCAGGTGAAATGAATAAAATAACAGCATTTTAAATATTTATCACACACACACACACACACACACACACACACACACACACACACACACACACACACACACACACACACAATGTGTTTATACTAGTGATGTGTCGGTCGCGAACGAACCGGCTCTAAGAGCCGGCTCTTTGAAGTGAACGATGGGAGCCGGCTCGTCATTGGGAGCCGTCCCCTCCCCTCTTGCTTTGGTGCAAGCTACAGGTCAACATGTGTAACTGCGTGTCCAGACTGTCCACACACAGAGCAGTAGGGGCAGGGAAGAGGGAGGATCAGATTCAGACACACAGCAGAGCACATGCGGGTGGAGGGAGATGAGAGAGAATGACGAGGAGGAAAAAGGAGAGCGAGAGAGAGGAGAGTGCAACGAAGATGGTGAGAAAATGAGCGCCAGCAGTCGGAAAGTGTAGATTTCTTAAATCCATAGAAATGATAAATATTTGATATATTGCATTTTTTTTATATTAGTAAATCATTTTACATATAGTTTAGCATTATTTTGGTTATAAATGTACTCTACGCAACAGAAAATCTGAGGAGCCACTAGGGAGCCGAAAGAGCCGGCTCTTTTTGGTGAGCTGAGCCAAAAGAACCGGCTCTCTTAAAAGACCCGGAATTCCCAACACTAGTTTATACTTTGTCTTGGGTCACATTGTCTAGCCCCCCCAAAAATTTTTTTGAAGAGTCACAGGTAAACAGAAACAGCACATAAATTATTATCAATAATATTATTATTAGTTACCACATGTTTATTCCACTGACTCCTTGCCTAGGGTTGCCTGTAATTACATTTGAATCACTTTTAACGTTAAAGAAAATCAGTTGCATTTTCAAATGATCCCCCGTATTTGTTTTCATCACCGACTTTTGATGATAAAATCCTTTTACTGAAGTAAGCAGAGCAAATAAGGCACGGCAGCAGTGACCTTTCCAGCGGTCTTTGAAGAGAGCAACGCTGCGGCGCATGCGCAGATCGCCGCGAATTCAAATCCGCCCTGGTCCGTCATTAGAAACGGTCCGACGAGAGAAGGCGGAACAACAGAGCCCCGCGTAATTTCTACTTTACAATTGAGTAAAACCGTCTGGGGAGGGAACTTAGCGTGTCCTCCGTAGCTTCTGTCTGTTTGGAAACACGTGGAAGCTTTGATTCAAACATTGTTCCGAGGTCTGTGTCCTGTGGTTAATTTGTACTTGTTGCATTTATTTCCGAGCTGAAGATTTAAACCTGTCATCACAGACTCAGGACGATGGATGACTTGGAACATATCAGCCATCATGTTCATAACAAAATATCATCCCTACAACGCATGCTGGACCTGTCTGCGTCAGGTATGACAGATTATCTCTGATCTGTGGCCCATCATAAATCTGAGTGGATTATTTCTGCTCTGCACACAGAATTACCACAACACAAGGTGAAAAAACTGGGACAAGAATTGTTTGTCCTCAGCGGCCTTTTGGATGAGTTTGAGAAATGTGTGGATCAACAAAAGGAGCAGCTGAAGCATCTGAAGGTCCAGTATGGGTCTCGGTCATACTGCTTTAAATATTCCTTCTGACATAGTCTCTCCGTGTGTGTTTTCCCTAATGTCAAAGGTGAAGAAGGGTCACAGAGTTGTCCTGAAGTTTGCCACTAGCTGTTTGATAATGGAGATACTGACTGGTTGTGTTTCAGAAACTTGATAACTCAATCCGGATGGATCTAGCCAGAGTTCAGCACATGAAGGACAACATGCCGATACACATTCCCAGGAAGAAGGCTCCTGTCAGGTGAGAACAATACTCCCACCATGATTCTTGTCTGTTCATAATAAAAAAGATGTGTTTTACGTTTAAGTAGCGGTAAAGGTTCATCTCAGTCTGTTGTTGCTAATCGTGTGATTAGTTTGTATGTGCTTCATTATCATAGAAGTGATTGCTTCTAGCTCACTATTACCAGACCAGATTAAAAACTAAGCATCAGCTTTGCAGACATGAAACTTCCCCACTGAGGAACATTGAAGGGATCTTCTGTTCTTCAGTAACTGTTTGTGTTCCAGAGGAAAGGAGCCTGCAGTGAGTCAGAGTGAGGCAGCAGCTGTTGAGCCAGCTCAGACCAAGAGCCTGCAGAAGACCAGCACATGCTTTATCAGAGAGATGAAATTCATCACCATGCCGGAGTTTGAGAGCATTCCTCAGTAAGCCTCACTCAGCTCAGAGACCACTCACGTTGTTCTGTTTGCTGAGGTCTACTGGGTCAGCTTCAGAGAACCCCCTCCTCTAACCTCTGAGGTCCTGGTTATGTTTCACTACTGAGCTGTACCAAAAGTGCCTTCTGTTTAAAGATCAACACATTACATTTTGACTGTTTTAACAACAACCTGTATAGTATGTGTTAACCGCTCTGAAACCTTGCGGCTCTCACTGGGTCACTATCGAAATGTCAGGTACAGATGTGACAGACTTTAGTCAGAGGTACAGATGTGACAGACTTTAGTCAGAGGTACAGATGTGACAGACTTTAGTCAGAGGTACAGATGTGACAGACTTTAGTCAGAGGTACAGATGTGACAGACTTTAGTCAGAGGTACAGATGTGACAGACTTTAGTCAGAGGTACAGATGTGACAGACTTTAGTCAGAGGTACAGATGTGACTTTAGTCAGACTGCAAAAGCATTCCGGTGTAGTTTTCATCAGGCTAAGGCAGCTGGGATGGAGTGTGCGAAGGTGGGAACAAAGTGGGCCAAGGCAGGTGTGATCACACCTGAGTGAGCCCAGGTCTGCTGCAGGCCCAGGCCACTGTGGAGACCTTCACCTGTTAACCACAGCTCGTTACTTATCAGTGACCCTTCAGAGAGGGCCGGAAAGTACTTTAGCATAACTGAAGTACTTTATCATTCACGTTTAGATGTTTGATTTGGTTTATTGTGAAATAAGCATTCCTGGGAATTACCCAGAAGTTATGAAACCTTCTCTGTGTGTGTGTTCTGCAGATACATGAAGGGACGTGTATCATATGAGCAGCTGAACGCTGTGGTGGACGGCTTTAATTCAGCTGTAACGGCTAAATACAGGATCCTGAGTCAGCCGTTGAAGACTCTCAACAATCACTCACGCAGGCTGCAGCAGCGCTTCAGGGACCAGGAGACCAAGGACACTAAAGGTGTGTGTGTGTGTGTGTGTGTGTGCGCGCACGGTATCAATAGTTATACTTTATCGTTGCTGTTTAGCTTTATGATCAACTCCTCTTAGAGGCACCAGCTGGTCCACTAAACCAGCTGTTTGTCTGGGCCTGATGTAGCGTTAGACAGTAATCAGCCACAGGCTGTGCTGCCCCCTGCAGGCGGAGTTTAGCTGGACCGGACTCCTGCATGTTGAGCAGATGCACAAACAAAACTAAAGATCTCCCCAGTCAGTAAATGTATTCTGTCATTTCACCAACAGTTCCCTAACTTTCTTGTTAAAAATGGGCGTCGCACCCGTGGGGGGTGAGGGTGTTTTAACACCCACGCTTTTCCCGCAGTCCGGTCCCTCTGTGTTTCTGTAGCTGTGCTTTCCTTCTCCCGTTGCTAAATGAAACCCACACCTTTGCGCGCCGGTGTTACGCGAGTATTCCGGTCGGTTTCGTTGTTGACGTGTTTCCCCACCGCACCCTCATTAAAGCTCCCTCCCGCGGTGCGCTCTGGTTTTTGGTTTAATACGAGCCACAGGTCTAAGTTGGTTATTTATGACAACTTTGTAGAATACAGCCGCACTAATGAGCTCCAACGGAGCCACAGCAGCTCCTGTCTAACGGGGCAGAACCGGGCCCCGAGCAGAGAAATTCCCTAGAGCTATGCCCAGAGCCACCTGCTATTTATGATTGTATAATTAATATTAAGTGAATGCACTAAACCCAAAGATGATAGAAGATTAAATAAGCCTGAACATTTTCTCCCACAGCTCAGCTGTTAGAAATAAGCAGATGTCTGCTTCAACTGGAAGGTATAAAAAGTGTTGACAGGAAACACATTTGTAATGAAAAAGGAATATTAATCATTTAAAATGTTATTGATTGTATTTAATTTCTAATGTCTGGATGTCTGTGAACATTACAGGGTAGAGAGCACATGATATTGTTTTTAACAGGTCATGATCTAAATCAGGTATAACACTCAGCCCTGTGCCTAAAGCCCTGCAGACACAGTTTTGCCCCACCCACCTATAAAAAAGCTGCAACACCTCTGGACCTGCTGGTTCTTTTGAACGGAGGCATAAGTAACTCATACATTACCATTGAGTGGAGGAGATTGTTACCTCCAAGCCTTTTCAAGCCATTCAGGTGTGGCCTGAACCCGACAGGCTCAGAGGATCCTGCCATAAAGGCCCGACTCTGCTCCCGTCTCAGATCATTATTACATGAAACAACCAAACGTCTCTTCTGTTGCTGCATCAGGACTACAACAGCTGATTATCTGAGCTCATGTGGTATGTTGCAGGTCATTTTTTTGTTGTGGAGGAGGACATCCAGGAGTTCACCCAGATGAAGGTGGACAAACGTTTCCAGGGGATCCTGAACATGCTGCGGCACTGCCAGCGTCTCCGGCAGCTCAGGGGTGGGGGGCTCGTCCGTTATGTGCTGTTGTGAGACCAGCTCCTCCATGTGTGGGTTTTCTACTTCGTTCCTGCTCCTACCCCTCTACACTTTGATGCAGATTTGTGGTGATTTTAACTTTTAAGAAAATATGAATAAATTTGTTCTCATTAAGTGAACAACCTTTTTCTGTTAACCTGTTTGAGGAGCAGCTGGCTGCTCTCTGGACTCCACTTTCACCGCATTTAACACAAGCTGAAGATGCTCAGCCGTTCACTGAACTCCCTAAATGAGAAACTCAACTTGATTCCTGCCCTGGACTCCCAACTCCACCGTGGGTTTGAAACAGATGTGCACATTGCTTAATTTGTAAATCAAACATTCCCGGAACGCAAATACTGATGTCAAACCAAAGTTCACTAACGGCAAAACAATGCCGGAACACGGGCTGGGACGGGGTTGACAATTAAAATCGCACCCACATTTTCAAAGTTAACACACATTTGTTTTAACAAAGGTACTTTTTGCATCTTTACTGTTAGACCTCTCTCCCCTCCCCAGCGGCCGCAAACTCACTGATGCGCCTGCAGCCTCTCGGAGTTTCTGCTGCTCTAAACATTAAAATAATTATTTCATTTTCTGTTCCTCACTTCTGATTACCTTCAGTGGTGTCTGTTTGTTGCAACCACCAGGAACAAAAACTAACTTGTTTTTATTTGACTATTTTTCTGTCCTGCCTGTTTATTATCTTCCTGCATCTCCTCTCAATCCTAAAGAAAAACTGCTACCTGGCTTCATATATATTCACCTTATGAGTTACCTTTGAACTGCAGTTCTAAAAGATCCACCGACCGCTAAAACAGCGGAGTGCTCGCATAGAGCACCTGTGAGGTGAAGTCAGAGGACGAAGCAGGTGATCCGCTCCGCAGCAGCAAAGCGCATCAGGCACAAATAAAAGACAGAAAGCATAAAAGGATATGAGCCGACATACACGACCGCGTGTTAACTTTGTTTTTGAGGTGGCGACACTTTGAGAATGTTACTGTGGCCGTGCTCAGGACGCTGCTGTCTGGAGCGCATCAACGATCAGAGCTCTGCGCCCCTCAGCTCCAAATAATCCCTGGAGAGCCCACATAAATATTGTAATATAAGTAGAACCAGGATCTTTTCCTGGCTCCCCCTTGGTGTGCACCTGTGTTAATGGGTCGGTGGCTCCTGTGATCTGTCAGCTGGTCAAATAAACACAGGCTCCTCTGGGTCTGGGTGCTTTAGACATCAGTGAGTGCTGGAGGACCAGAGTGTTTCAGAAGAAGAGACCAGTCTGATTCCATCAGCTACACCTTTAATATCATATCAACAACAGTAGAAAAACAAAAACTAACAGACAAAAAGGTAGGAAATCCATCATTCAACAGAATGTTAAAAATAATTCCTCTGTACAGTATTTACACACACACACTGAATACACACATCCTCAGTCACACACTAAAGAGTCTAGAGGGGTCTGCTGGGAGTCAGAGGTCACCGACATCCAGTTCTAGAGAAGTGGTCTCACCCAAACGGCTCCGGTCCGAGAGCAGAACCAGCCGTCCCACCTGGGACCGGCAGACGCTGAGTCCAGTCCAAAGGGGACTGGTCCCAGTGCCAGACGGGAGTGAAGTGGTCCAAAAACAGAAATGGTCACATGACTCAGATGAGGTCAATCATGTATACCTGTACAGGTGGGAGAGGACACATTTGGTTAGAAATTGGAGACCTCCCAGTCATCACCTCATGTACACACACACTTACAGGGATTCATATACAGCGGGACAAAAAGGCAGCTACCAAGCTGTCCCACTGAAAAATCAGGTCTAATTTTCATCGTAGGAAATGTCGTCTGATATTTATAGAACCTAATGGTAACAGGGATGGCGAAAATAATGATTTGGTCCTTAAAAGTCCACCTCCATATGCCCTGCGATGGACTGGCTCTCTGTCTAGGGTGTACCCCGCCTGATTGCCCACTGACCAGCCCCCCGCGACCCTGCGTGGACACGCGGGTCCAGAAAATGGATGGATGAAGTCCACCTCAATAGCTTGTAATGCACCACTGGTTTCCTGTAGGTCTTCACCAGGTGTGACGAACTGTAGCTGCTACTTCGACCCATTCCTCAATGCAGATCTCTTCTACAGCTGTGATGTTGCTAGGCAACACAGACCTTCAACTACCTCTACAGATTCTGTTTGGCCCAATCTCAACACTCGCACTGCGCCCTGCGGTCTTCAGCAAAGTGCACTTGGAGAAAGTGCAGTAGGGTTCGAGTGTGTAGTACACAAGTGTGCAAATAACTGCAGAAGTGAGACAGGGAGCATCGAGTCATCGATCGCAACTCATGCCTGCATGCTGTGAAACTTAAAAAAAAAACTTTATTAACTTTCAAACGAACAATAAAGCAATTATTTGAAATAAATGCAACTTCATTGCTGCTTTGTCTAAAACATTCAGAGCATCAAATGATCATCCTAAAATGAACTAATTTCATTAGAAAAGACATGTTTTCAGAAAAGGAACTTGAGCCTTTTCTCCCGCAGCAAAGACTTGTGGGTAATTCCCTTGCCCGAGGTGCACATTGCTGCAGAATTGGGTGAAGTGCAGATTAAGGGTGCAATGGGGGCGTGGTCAACTTCCACATTTGAGAATCGAGACACCCTCCACACTTGCACCCCCGGCCGGGAACGCGCAACTGAAGGGTGCAAGTGCGAGTATTTAGATTGGGCCTTAGACTGAGGTCTAGAGACTGGCTAGGCCACTCCAGAACCTTAAAATGTTTAACACAGCTACCTCTTTGTTGCCCAGGCCATGTGTTTGGGATCATTGTCATGCTGGAAGATCCAGCCACGTCTCATATTCAATGATCTCACTGATGGAAGGAGGTCTGAAAATATGTATTTTCCGAGCTCCCTGACCTGCACTCAATCTACAGCAGGCAGTGCTGGACCAAGGCCAGGAAGATCGTGAAGGACCTCAGCCATCCCAACAGCAGACTGTTCTCTCTGTTGAGGTCAGGAAAGCGATTCCGCTCCCTGAAGACCAACACAGAGAGGCTGAGGAGGAGTTTCTTCCCGCAGGCGATACGGTGTTTAAATCACACCACCACATAGTAAGTGCCCACACATATGGTTCTCACACACACTGGACAGTCTGGACTTTGCTTAAGCACAGTTGCACTGCAAAAGTCACTACTATGTGGTTTGCACAACTCTGGACATTATATTTTTCATTTCAATTTAATACTTGTTCAGCTGCTGTTACTGTATAGATATTTTTATTTCTTCATTCTTATACATTTCCATACTGTGTATTTTGTTGTACAGTAACTTTATTCTCAACTTCAACTTATACATATTTTATCTTACCCTTTCCCAGTTAAATGTACCCTTCAATCTAATTCGTGGTGTAGTTATTTTATTTTCTACTCTTAGGTCACGAGCAGTTGTGTAAGGCATTTCACTGCATTTCGTACGGTGTATGGCTGTGTATGTGACAAATGAATTTGAATTTGAGGTTTTCGCCTAAAATCTCACGATACGTCACCCCAGAGATGTGCTAGGGAAGATCAGTACCCCGTCACTGTGACGTTATTAAAAATCTCTTCTTCAGGAGGAATTTAAAAGGTCATGTTTGCTGTTTTTTAAGGTTATATCTGATCTTTTCCACCCAATTCCAGATCCTTTTGTATGATTGGGCCTAATTTCTGAACAAGTGATGGGATCGGAGCAGCCCTGGAGCAATCGCTGTCTCATCTAGAACTGATGACTGGAGGTCAGAGCGACCAGGTTACTGAGAAGGAACCCTCACACCTTCATCACACGAGGCACCACCGACCACTTTCATTTACATCCAGTTTACACACTAGGAAAAAACAGGCCACCTCTATGATTTCCTACAAAACTCTCCTAATCTGAAAACTTGAAAGTATTTCACAATCATATTCTGGCTGAATCTGGAACTACCAAAACCAGGAGAGTCCAAAGTCCCCATGGTCCACACAAATGTGTATTTATTTGTTATGATTAATGCTTCTCTGGTTTCTGGTCAGGTCCCTGCTTACTTTAAGAACGCTGTAATCCTCCCGCTTCTTAAAAAACTGAGTCTTGACCCCTCTCTCCATAGCAGCTTCAGACCCATCTCTAAACTTCCGTTCATCTCCAAGATCTTGGAAAAGGTTGTGGCTAAACAACTCACAGCTGCTCTTGATGAACATAACATCTATGATAGCTTCCAGTCTGGTTTTCGTAGAGCTCATTCTACTGAAACAGCTCTTCTTAGGGTCTCTAATATTAGACCTTCTGTGCTCGACTTCTGACCAAGTATGGTTCAGTATGCATATGCAGCATCTTGGCCAGGTCACCCTTGCAAAAGGTTCTAATCACAATAGGTTTTATCTGGTTAAATAAAGGTGATGATGATGAAGTCCTCCAAACACACCCACATCACCCCGCTTCTCCTCCAGTTTCACTGGCTGCCAGTCAACTTCAGGGTTCATTTCAAGATCCTGGTTCTGGTCTATATGGCCTTACATGGACAAGCACCATCTTACATTGGTGATCTTCTTAGTACCTACACCCCCAGCAGGTCCCTGAGGTCCAGTGATCAAAGCCTACTGGTTGTGCAGCACCAGGCTAAAGGTCAAAGGTGACAGGTCATCTGCTGCTGAGGCCCCCAGACTCTGGCACTAGCTGAATTGTCCATTTTGTTCATAATTTGAAATACATGAATCTTTCAAAATTAAATAATGTACTGCAAACATGGTGGGTGTGTATGTGTGTGTGTGTGTGTGTTACCATTTTCACCTGCGTGCAGCAGGGTACAAAGATGGAGCAGACACTTGCTGACTGGCAACAATGGCTGAAGAGGAGAGTCCTGAAAGAGACGGTCAGCTTTTATCACCAGTTTCAAACTTAAATCATATAGGAAGACTAATCTCATAAACACTCAGTTTCAGTTTTATAAATTACTTCTCAGCGTCCCATCTAGAACTACGTTCAGTGTTCTCTGACGGAGAATCGTGAATCTGGCTAAATTGGATGATTAAAGCTGCTTTCCGGAGTTTTCTCCTCTCAGAAATCATGTATGATTTGTCAGAAATCCGTAAAAGTGATTATCTCATCATGTGCTGTCATATAGTGTAAGCAATACATCTTTTTTTTTTTTTTGCTAACCACGCCCCCTGCCCCGCAGAGCTCCATGCAATAGGAAACTGAGCGCCGACCAGAACTAACCAATAGCATTAAACTACCGCTTAGATGCTTCAGATGTAAGGAATACCTCGGCTGATGAACTTTTCACGGACAAGTAAGTCTCTAAAATATAAATATATGAGAACACGACATGAGAATAATACGTGTGAAACAGCGTGTTTTAGCTCTGTTTGACAGCTACAGAAGCACATTTATAAACAGAAACTGTGAAGTCGCCATCTTAAAAAACAGAGTGACAGATTTTTTGTGTGATATGCTTGTCAGCCACTAGATGGTGCCACTGGATAAGAGAAATACTCCAGAAAGAGCTTTAAGTGCAGTTATACTTCATCTCATCAATTTTCATACAGAATCTGGCCGGTACCTTTAACATTTATTTTGAAAATTGCATCCAAAAGCACAGGATTGTTTATTTATGCCTACAAACAATTTCTGCAACAAAAGGAAGTCACGGCCCCAGAATGCATTGCACAGGTAAAATAATGCTGACCTTGTTGAATAAAAAGTAGCAAATATATAAGATTTTTTAAATAAATAAGTGTTTCCTCATGTCAGCAACAATTTTAGTAGAACACGTATAGAACAACAAACACCCACAAAAGCTGACTGTCCCAGGTCCAGAATTCAGCAGGTAGGTTAGACAGTCTCCAACTCTGTGTGTGTGTGTGTGTGTGTAACTGAGATAGTACTAAATGTTTGAGTCTCCATGTGGTGACAGAAAGGTCTTACCTGAGGCGTAGGATAGGTCGTACTGTCCTGACATCAAAGGATACCCCAGGTGATGGTGAGACGGCAAGATGCACTGTGAAGGAGAGGCTCGAGGTCGGGAGCATTCCCGATCCCGTTCCCGCTCATGTGAGATATTGTCTTGGATGGACGGGGACTTGCCCTGGTAATTTCTAGCACGCTGCTGCAGCAGCTCCAGAGCTTTAGCCTCACTGGGTGGCTTCACGGTTGGACTGGACCTGGATGGTTTTTCCCCATCTTCCCCTGCTGCCACCTTCCCTCCGTATGAGGAAAAGGCGTAACTGACTGGCAGGTATGAGGCTTAAGACAAAACATTCAGACTGTCAACACAAACAAGACTAAAAACTCTGTTTTCTATCACTGCTGGTTGGAAATCTCAGAACAGATTCCTGTTGGCTAATCCCTGCAGCTCAGGTCAGCTCTACATCTTCATCTCACCTGGGTAGTTCTGCATCATGACTGAGGGCATCCCTCGGTACCCAGGATGGCTGGGCTCGAAGCCCTGGCTGTAGGCATAAGCTCCCTGCATATAGGGCATGTAACCCTGGTGCTGGGCCAAGGCAGGGGGGAACTGCATGTGGGGGATGCGTGTCTCCTTTCCGACATCCTGGTGCTCCTCCAGGGGCTGCTGCCCTTTGGGCTCCTCTTTCTGAAGGCCCTCCTTTGGTCGTGGCCTCTCCTCCTTCTCTTTCCTGTCTCGCTTCCTTTCATTTTTCCACCGGTCGTCCTCCTGAGGTCTCGGGGGTTCTGAGTATTTGCTGGGGTAGACGTAAGGCCACAAGTGTGAGTTTGTTTCCTATAGAGAAGAAAAAGACTGCTTTATTCTTTTCACACTTGTTGACCTGCTGCTGAGGACGATCTGTTCTTCTACCTGGTGGGTCACACAGGTTGAGTTTAGTTCTGTAACCCCGGCTTTCCACTGCCTGTGAAAAAAGTCGTGTAACGTGTGTTGTTCTACCTGCAAGCTCGTTCCCAACAGGGAGCAATTCTGATGTGAAACAAGAGTGAAAGCGTTCTTCAAAGCTGAATTGCACACATGATTTCAATCCAACTGAAATTTCAATTCAAGTTTATTTATAAAGCGCCAAATCACGACAAGAGTCGTCTCAAGGCACTTCACATAATAAACATTCCAATCCAGGTCAGTTCATTAAGCCAATCAGTAAAAAGTTTCCTATATGAGGAACCCAGCAGGTTGCATCGAGTCACTGACTAGTGTCAGAGTCTTTACAGCAATCCTCTTACTAAGCAAGCATGCAGTGACAGTGGAGAGGAAAACTCCCTTTTAACAGGAAGAAACCTCCAGAGAATCCTGGCTCAGTATAAGCAGCCATCCTCCACGACTCACTGGGGATCGAGGAGGCAGAGCACACGCACGCACGCACGCACACACACACACACACACACACACACACACACACACACACACACACACACACACACACACACACACACACACACCACGTAGTGTTTCTATGGTTACATTGTGATTTCTTAGTAAATATTCTATTAGGTGAGAGATAAACTTTATTGTATTTATCCTAGTGGATCTATAATTAAACGGGTAAACTAGTAGTAGCACATCCAACGTCAAGGATTTGAATTTCAGACGTTCACACAAAATAATAAACAAGAAGAAAGACAGCTGCGTGCATAAAAAGATGTGAGTTAATTTCTATTCTGTTTACATTGGTGACAAAATTTCACAAGAAATGGCGTGACCTTAATTGTGTAATATTGTGAAAGGCTAACAAATGTATTTGTCCACAGCCATGTCAGAGATCAAATAGACAGTCGGATGTCCAGCAGCTTTCCTCTGCTAGGAATGTTGTGTTCTTCCCTGTACCAAAAAATTAAACAATTCTGTGGTTAACCATTCCTAGCAGCACCATCCAGAAGATACCCATAATACATTCCTCCTCCTGACTCCCTTATCTGAGCTGCAACTCCAAGATCCATGAAGACGAAACTTTTACTCCTTATAACATGATTTCATTCAATCCACGGGTTTACAATCATATTCTGTGTTTTCTACAATGAATGTTAAGTGATTTAATGATCAATTAATTATGAGTTACATTCACATAATATCAGTATTTTAACAAATGAATGTTTAACAGATTTACTCCATATATTACGTGAAAAAAGCTTTCTAAGCATCACAGACAGGGGAGTGCTTGAGGGTCTTGATAAACGCCTATTTACATTTCTCAGATCTGGTTGGTCAAAGTTTATAAATATCCATTTCATTAAAAGTGTAATCACTTCCTATTCAAGCCAGTTCTGCCAGAGCTCTGAGTTCAGCAAAAGCTTGCAGCTCATGCTAAATGAGCATCTGTGAAGAATCAAACCAGATTTTTCAGTGGAATAATTTAATTTTTTCCTTTTTGAATCAACAATTATTTGCTCAATCCACCACCCACTCATCAGTCATGAAACTGTCAGCCAGAAGCCACCTGGGAAGTATCTTTTGAACAGTCGGGCGTATGCTGAGGGAGCCTACAATCTTAAGATACATCAGAAGCCCACCCACTCACTCGATTACTCTGAGAGACGGCTTCGCCTGCAGACCGGATCTCCAGGAGCGTCCATGATCCAGGGTGCGTAGACTGACTAAACAATGGCATCAGAGTGGTTGATATAAATTTGATAACTTGTTAAATTAGATCCAACAAACAGCCAAATTTATTTTAGAAACCCAAACATCACACCTTTCTGAGTCACTAAGAAAACTCTTAAACAGACCTGGGGTCTCATTTATCAAACACGGCATAGAATCCATACTAAAACCGTACTTAAGCTCAGCAAAAAAAAATGTACTCACGCCAAGTAGGTTTGTGATCTATCAAACATGGAGTACGCACAGCTGCACACAATCTCCGCTTCATAAATCAGAGACTAACGAGAATGTTTCTCAGCTGCTTTTTAGTCACATCCCGCCCTCACCACGCCCACTAACTGCCATAAATAGTCAATGCAAAGTGCCTTGTGGATCTCATGCATTTACATAAGCCGGCTGTTGCAGCGCTCCGCCAATGACATGGCGACCGTAGATCAAGGCAGATCAAGGAAGCGCAATTTCACAAGCAGAAATTGAGGTACTTGTGGGTGAGGTGGAGAAATGAAAGGAAGTGCTTTTGCAAAACAAATAAGAGAAAATCCACGGAGTGGCACAGCGTTGCTGAAGCCGTCAATGCTGAGTTCTTCAGAGAGATCTGTGGCGGATATAAAAAAATGGTCCAATCAGGATTCGATCCCCAGACTCCCAGGCAAAAGTCAGGTGCTAACCAGTCAGCCAAACGCAAATCTCCCTTGTCCAAGTAGGCAGGGTGCATGATCAATCAGGTCACAGTGACAGGACACACACTGTCACAAACGCATGACATTTTGTCTCTCTCTGGCCCCCTACTGATATTCTGCATTCTGTGCTTCAGGCTGTGTGTGTGCGCATGAGTGTGTGTGTGTGTGTGTGTGTGTGTGTGTGTGTGTGTGTGTGTGTGTGTGTGTGTGTGTGTGTGTGTGTGTGTGCGTGTGGGGGTCTTGTTCCGTGTGAAAACAAAGCGGTACAAGTGATAATGCTGCAGGATTTCATAATGTTATCCTTCTCAGCAGCAGCACTGCAGGTGCTCTCCATGTCCAACATGTGCGTAAGCCAGGTCCTTAGTCAACTTAAAGTTGCGTACATTTTTCTGCCAAGTTTTCTTTCATAAATCCCAAAGTTTGCATGGAAAGTTGCTTACGCAGTTTTCCGACCCCGTTTTGTGTGTAAGCAAGCTTGATAAATGAGGCCCCTGGTCATGTTTCATCAGAGTTCATTCATTGTCTCATTTGATTTCACTGTGAATCACCATTCATAATCATTTGCCTTTCATCATCATTAATATAGTAATAAATAGATTTTTTATAAACTATATTTTTTGTCTCTGTGTCAAATGTATTAAAAGTAACCACCTACAAATAGTTGCAATTGTGAAGGTTTCTGGATTGTTACGGTGCTTTTGTTTTTGACTTCCTTCGATCTAAACAGCAGAGTTTGACGTGTTTTGGACGTGTAGTGCATCAAAAATAGACTCGAAACATAATGATAGCAAGCCCTCGCTTCTGGGGCATGTCCAAAACGTATCACTTTGCTGCCGGCAGAAAGGAACTCATCCACTATAATGGTGGCTAATTGCTGCGTGGTACGTTTGGCGACACTCTCATGTGCAGTGGAAAGGAGGGGTAAGTCCAGTTGGATGCTAGCTTAAGCTGAGCGTACACTGTGCGACTTTTTCACTTTTTTGAGCCGATTTTCCACTCGTGCGAGAATCCACGAGATCGGGGCGAGTTTTGCGCGGAGCGTCGTGTAGTGTACAGGGGGTTACGAAAGGCAATTAACATCACGAGACCAGCTACCGATCAGCAGTCGTGAGCTCGCACAAACTTCTGGCGTGTTTAATATTTTGATCATCCCTCGTGAGGGTATCGCACTGTTGAAGCGGCGCTGCGAGCAGCTGCGACCAAAAAAGTACCAGAACCGCTCACGGCGCATGCGCAATCCTGCATCAACACCTCTCGCCCGCTATTTCCCTAATAACACACGTCCGTTTTTGTTTCTATACGTTTTTTTACTCACAAAGATCGTAAAGAAAGCGTGTTTGTCGTGTTCATGTTAAATTAAACTGATCACAAAACACAGATTTACTTTCTTTATTTCGTTTTCCTCATCCAACCCCCATCAATACCTGTGTGTCCTCCTGCAGCACTCCCGAAGGACAACAGGCAAAACAAGACAAAAAAGTCTGACGTGTTGTGTAAAAACTGCTATTTTTAGCATATTTTTAGGGCCGACGTGTTGCTACCAGACGTACAGTGTGAGCAGTCAGATCGCATCCGAGAACTGGGTCGTACAGTGTGAGCACACGACTCGTGAGATCTGCTCTGCGAGGAAGTCGTACAGTTTGAGCTGAAGCTGAGTGCTACGAGTGAAAAAGTCGCACAGTGTACGCCCGGCTTAAGACGTTCTGATCTTGACACAACAATGTGGACTGAATTCCCTGAATTCAGCTTCCTGTGTGCTACAGCAACTATGAACAGTCAGGAAAAGTAATTTTTCTAAGCTTAACTCACCAGAAGTTCATCTCAAAGGTAGAAAAGCTGAAAACAAAGATAAACTGGCTAAAGATGACACAGCAAAGCCTCATGAGTGGAGAAAAAGCAACGTTCATCATATTTAGGCATAAGGCCAGCTAGGATAAAACTGGAAATGGTTATAGAAACTTTCAACTCTCATTTCTACTTTTGGGTTCAATAGTTCAGAAGTTCTGTGAAACCTGAAGAATGTGCATCTTATAAACATCTGCAGCCAAAACCAAACAGGTGATGAACAGCAAGACAACAAAGTACTCACCTGTCTGTACCACGTGGCAGGATCTGCACCCACTGGCCTGCCCAACTCCATCCCCGGCTTGGTCTCCCCTATCCCATGGTGACCTGCTTCGCTGGGTTTGATCTTCACACCATCAGCCTGTCCTGCTGGGACTTTAGGATCTTCTCCCTTAACCACACTGACACACTTGACCTGTTCTGATGCAGCAATGGTGTCTTTAGGCTTAGCTGCGTTGACCTTTGCACCCTGGTCTGCAGGGCTTGGTGCGCTGGCTAGGGTAGGAGGTACCAAGGCCTTCTGCTTCCACTCATCTTTACTAGACGTCTGCCGATCTTTGCCCTCAGCCTTCCTGTCAGCTTGCTGCTGCCTCTCCTCATATTGCTGACGGTAGGCGGGGTTAGAGGCCAGCAGGTGAGTTGGATCTGGGTACGAGTAAGGGGAAGCAAAGTACTGGTTGTAATAAAGAGACTGGGAGTACATGCTGGAACGCTGTTGGATGACTGAAGCCTGTTGAGGCCCCGTTTCTGCCACCCTTTCCTCTTGAGGTTCCACCTTCCGTTTGTTATTCTCTCCAACCTCTTGCTCTTCTTCCTTCGTCACCTTCACTTGGTCACCTTCAATGTGAGGTGGTGCTGCAGGGGCTTCTCCTTGACTGGGGTTTAGGTAGCTCGGAGAGCAGGAGTAGTCATAGTTTGGGTAGTAAGGTGAATCCTTAGACTGCAGGAAGAACAAGGCTTTCTTGGAGCCATCACAAGGTCCCTCGTCCAGTTCAGTTTTGACTTTCACCACCTCTGCCTTCCCTTCACCATCCTCTCCCACATCAGAGATGTCCGAGTAGGCTGGACTGCTGGTCTTGGACAGGATATCAGCTCCATTCTCATTTTGATGGGAGGGGGGCACATCTATCCTGCTAGCCACACCAATGGATGGGCTGGGTGCATTGTCAGAGAAGCTGTAGACCTTGTCAGCTTCAGCTTTGATGCTAGCTAAGCGGTTCTGCTGAGCTTCCACACAGCCATTATGTAAAGTGTCCAATGTTTCAGAGTATGGACTTTTCCCCTCCTCTGACCTCACAGCCCTTCCTAGTGCCTTTGGACTATCACCTTCCTTCCATCCATCCCTCTTCTTTTTGTCTTTCTTTTTCATGTCCTTAGCAGCAGCAGGACTGGAGTTTGGGTCAGTGAGAGGGGGAGGGTTAGGTTGGCTGTTGGGTAGGGGTTGCACCACTGAGCCTGTAGCAGGAGAAAACTCTTGGCAGGAATACAAAGAAGGGGCTTCAGGAATAGGAAGAGGTAAAGGAGGGATCAGCTTTACACCTTTATGTGTTGGTTTATCAGGTTTGCTGTTGGTGGACATCTTCCTGTCTTTCCTGTTCTCTAGTTCATCACTGCTGGTCTCATCAGTTAAACACCCCACCTCCTCACCACCATCGGTTACCTCAGGTTCTGCCTCCCCCACCACCTTCTTTACTTTTAAACCATGCTTTCCTGCCGAGGGAGCATCAGGGCCTCGTTCTTTGGGAGAAACAACTGCACCATTGCTGGTCGTTGGGTCAGGATGGAGAACAGCTTCTTCCCCAAATTCACTGTCCACGTCCTGGTCCAATCGGATGCCATGGTCACTGTGAGCGTGAACCTGGTGATATTTTAGTCCATTGATGTGTTTGTATTTCTTATTGCATTTAGGATGGGGGCAGTCAATGAGTGTAGGGGAGGGACAGGTCCGCTCAGAATGTGGGAGAAGCAGAGTGTCCGTTTTAACTCCAAGGAGAGGCGTCCCAATACCAGTGGAGTTGGTTCTAATACGTTTAGATGCTTTCAAGTCCTCAGAGCTGGAGGTAGGTTCTATATCCGATACAGGTTTGGTCTTCCTTTTGGCAGAGGATGGGTTGGCCTTAGCATCTTCTGAACAGCTGACTGTGTGGCTCCCTCGTCTCCCTTTGCTGCTCGCAACAGCACCACGTGTCTTGCTGCTGCTTTTACAGTCAGATGAGTTGCTGTTATCGTTCAAAAGTGCGTTGCTTCCAGGACGCGTCCGCTTCCCCCGACCACGTCCGTTTCGCACATCCACATCACTAGTGGGAGACTCGCAGAACCTGAAAGTACACAATGTTACAAAGAATATCTGAAAAAATGTAGTTAAAATGTTTAATCCATTCATAATAGACACAAATACAGTCACATGATGCAGTAAATTTTATTTCACATGGCAATGAAAATAACTTTCCTTCACACTTTATTCAGTTGAAAAACTGACAAAACTAAATTGCAGGTGAACAGGCTAGAGCTGAGGAAAATAATCAAATAATCGATGCATGTGGACATGACCGATTCTGCCTCGTAGAGGAGTACACCATAATCAATTATAGTGGAATGTATTTTTGTTTAACAGCGGCACCAGCGCAGCATCCAAATCTGTCCTCCACATTTACCAAGTGGTTCCGCCTTAATGTGGTACTGCAGGGCTGAGCGCTAAGAGTTGTAACCTGAGACCGAACCGGAACCGAATTAGCCCGATCGGTTCTGTTGGATTTGGGCCGTGAATTATGTTAATTGAGCGTTGAGCAGGTTGTCATCCGACACGCTCCGCTCACTCCCACAGCAACTGAGACAGAGAGAAAGAGAGAAAGAGAGAAAGAGAGAAAGAGAGAGAGAGAGAGAGAGAGAGAGAGAGAGAGAGAGAGAGAGAGAGAGAGAGAGAGAGAGAGAGAGAGAGACAGAGAGAGACAGAGAGAGAGACAGAGAGACAGACAGAGAGACAGAGAGAGAGAGATCCGGTCTCGGGGAGCGGGCGGGGTCAGCGACGGCGGCTGCAGCGTGATCGTCTGTCTCTTTTATTTAGGGACACGGAGAAGTTAAAAGGAGAGAGAAATAGAAGACAGAAGTTCTGGTTCCACTTTATTATTTTGTTTCATGAAGATAAATTGATGTTAAATTCAGCTTAAAGACAAACTGGGAGGAAGCTTTGGTTCATTTTAAGTTACAGGAGGTTTTGTCTCCTATCTGCTCCTCCAGAGACAGCATGAGGGTTACATGGTGAGGGTCACACAGGACAGGTTAGTGGAAAGGTTTGTAGTTAGCTGGTTAGTGAAGGAGATCCATCAGCTGGGTAATTTAATCCTAATCCAGCCCACAGCCTTCTGCTGGTGTTATTATCAGAAAGAATAAAACACACATCTTAAATATTATTGGAAGTGTAGAATTAGTTTTATGTTTTATTATTTTCTGCATCAAACAGAACTTGATTCATTCTCCAACATTTCAGAAATGAACCACTGGGTTCAAATGAAATTAAGTCAAACATTTCATTTGGTGTTATTTCTGACACCCTTCAACTGCGGCATAAGTATTTGACTCTAGAGCTGCTCAGAGACATTAAACACTCATATATGAACCCATTATGTATTGTATTATTACATTATGTGTCCTGTAGGTTTTCAGTACTTTTTTAGATTTTGTGAGTTTTTGCAAAGCGTGTTTTTCTCAGCCTGAGGCGTGGTGTTTAATGAGGAAACAGATGTTTTACTTTGTTAAATCTTCTTAAACGTTTAAAATGTTTTGTCCTAACCCGTTGTGAATGGAGAGCTTTTGAGGGATGGCAGGTTGTGTCAATTACGTTTTTGATTTAAAAAAATAAAAAGCAATTATCTGACACCATCTATTTATCGATGAAAACAAATCAATATGAAATAATCGTGATGCATCGTGATATCGAATTGAATTGAATCGTTGACCCAATAATCGTAATCGAATCGAATCGGGAGACAAGTGAAGATTCGCACCTCTATCCATGACTCAGTAAAGCCTCATTTATACTTCTTCGTCTGCTCCACAAGGGAGACACATGCACGCATGGACAGAGACATTTTGCTCTCGAACTTCTCAGTCTCCAGGGGAGTGTTGCAAAGCAATTTCCTGCCAGGACAACAGTGTGTAACGCTGTTCTGTGGTATCCGGTCCAAGTTAGTGCATTAACTATAGTGTTTACATTGTGTTTTTTGTATTTAAAAGACTTTTTAACACGGACAGAATTTGTTCCTAATTCTCCTCCACCTCTTCATGCGCTCACCACCTCTAAACCTACGTTTCCCATCATTTGCATTTCCACTCCTTCAGTCACAGGTGAATAAAACATTCATATTTTTAGAGTTTTTCCACAAGATATTCTTCAAGCTGCTCCGTGTCTGCCACTAAATATCTTCGGCTCTCTTTATGTTTATGAGGGCGCACTGGTGTTGCTGTCAATAACAGCAGCGTCCTGACCAATCACAGGCTTGCGTTCTTCGTCTCATTGGACGGATGTTTAGAAAAGAGAGCTCGACTCTGCCCGTCCTTGCGAGCCTGCTGGAGAGCCCTTGCAAGGATGGATAATGGCGTTGCGTGCGTGCGTCCATCCATCCCAACGCAGACAGAGAAGTATAAATTAGGCTCAACCCTTACATGTCTTCTTGTATAGATTAATTCCTGAGGTTCAGAATCAGAAGGTTTTGTTGCCATATGTGTAAGAAATCACAACATTAGGAAATTGCTGCGGTACTTTGAGATAAGAAAATACAGAAAGAAAGAACATAATAATAATAATAATAATAATAATACATTTTACTTGTAAGTGCCGTTCAGTCCCTCAAGGTTGCTAAACAACATAATTAAAAGCAGTACACAAATCGTACAAGCAGTGCAAAATCAAACGGCCAACAATAAAATCTAAGATAAAAAATAGCATCAATAATAAACAATGCTGAGAAATCAGAATTCAGCACTGACGATCGCATACAAAGATACAATCACCTAGAGTACGCCATAAACCTGCCTAAATAAGTGGGTTTTGAGAAGAAGTGAAGTACAGAGGTGGCTGAGCGAACCAAGGATGGGAGTTTATTCCAAAGCCAGGAGGTTAGTGAGCCGAAGGACCGAAGACCCGTGACAAGCAAACCCACAGGGCCCCCCGACGAACACGGTTTAACGCCTTCTCCAAATCCACTAAACACATATAGATTGGTTGGGCAAACTCCCACTCACCCTCCAGGACCCCCCTGAGGGTATGGAGCTGGTTCAGTGTTCCACGACCAGGACGAAAATCACATTGCTTCTCCTGAATTCGAGGTTCGACAATTCGATGGACCCTCCTCTCCAGAACCCCTGAATAGACCTTACCAGGACCTTGCTCAGGAGTGTGATCCCCCTTTTAATTAGGGGGACCCCCATCCCGCTCTGCCAGTCCAGTGAAACTGCCCCAGATGTCCACAGGATGTTCCAGTCAGCCAACACAGCCCTACAACATCCAGAGCCTTAAGGAACTCCGGGTGGACCTTATCCACCCCCAGGAGCCTTGCCACTGAGGAGCTTTTTGACCATCTTGGTGACATTAGCACCAGAGATTGGAGAGCCCAACTCCAAGTCCCCGAACTCTGCTTCCTCACTGAAAGATGTGCCATCGAGATTGAGGAGGTCTTCAAAGTAATCTGCCCACAATGTCCCAAGTAGAGGTCAACAGCACATCGCCCCACTATAAATAGTGTTGGTAGCGCACTGCCGCGTGAGTGTTAAAGTCCCCCTGCAAACCGAGGGTGTCACCAGAAGCAGCACTCTCCAGTACCCCCTCCAACGTCTCCAAAAAAAAAAGGGCAGTCTGAACTGGAGTTTGGTGCATAAAAACAAACCACAGTCAGGATCCGTTCCCCCACATGTAGGCGGAAGGAGGCTACCCTCTCATTTACTGGGGAAACCCCAACGTACAGGCACCAAGATGGGGGGCAACAAGTATGCATAGTTCTACTCTGAGCCTCTCCGTGGGAGCAACTCCAGAGTGGTTGAGTGTCCAACTCCTCTCAAGGAAACTGGTTCCGGAGCCAGAGCAATGCGTTGAGTTGAGTCCGACTACAACTAGTCGAAACCTCTCAACATCACACACCAACTCAGGCTCCTGCCCCACCAAGAAGAAAGAATATAATCAGGATAAAATAATAAAATAACAGTGGCAATAATTTGAGAAATGGCTGCTATATACAAGACAGTGTGGGTACTGATCAGAGCAGAACAGTTCAAGTGCAAACACAACACAGGGTCATGTGACTGGAGTGGTCAGCCCTATGATTGTCATTCATGAGTCCAGCAGCAGAGGGGAAGAATCTGTTCTTGTGGTGAGAGGTTTTGGTCCGAATCCTAGCCTCCGGCCAGATGGCAGAGAGTCAAAGAGACTGTGTCCAGGGTGAAATGGGTCAGCTGTTATCCGACCTGCACGCCTGAATGTCAATGGCTGTTTGGGAGGGAGTGGGGATGCTTCGATCCGATGATCGGAAATCGGGCCCAATCACGTGATTTTTAAAGGATTGGGGATGAAAAGATTGGATTTCACCTTTTAAAACAACAAACACGACTTTTAAATTCATCCTGAGACAGATTTTCAAGAGGAATAACAATGGCTTAGTTTCAATTTCAATAAGTTCCTCTACATCAATATTATTTGTTTCTTGTACAAAAACAACACCTTAACGTCACACAATTTATGGCAGGCAGGGACGCCAAGATGCAGCTGTTAGCAAGCAGGCTAATGCAAAGCTAACGTGTCTCCCCAGGAGAGCTGAAATGTCTTCAGCTTGGTGGTATTTAAAACCAGGCAGTGAAGGCAGAGCTACAGCAACTTGTAATGTGTGCATACTAAGCATTCAACATGCTGGAAAGGACACAACCGCATGATTCGCTGCCTTTAGACTTATGTCACATTCAGATTTAACCTTCGGCCATCAAAGTGAATCACCAGTCCCCATTAATTCCCAGTTTGCCACCAACAGTCCCAGTTCACAGCGAAATCAATGCGGAGCAAGCAGGCAGAGAAAGATACACTAATGAACAAAGAGAAATTGCAAACAGACTACAAAATGCCAGGGTTGCTAATTCTCCTGCTGCACCAGAGGTGTGTGTTAGCTACAGATATTAAGCAGGGAAAAGTTAGCCTGCCTGCCTGGTGTCATGGGAACTTGCATTATTAAATGCAGCTGCATATTGAGGGAGTTAATAACTTGAAATAAGAGCAACGCTGCTACTTTGGAATACATGCATAATGTAAACATGTTTTCTTATTCCTAAACAAATGAAAGTGAAAGACAACTTGGATGTGTTTTCTTCTTATTTTAATGCTTTCCTGAAAAGTATGGGATAGGGAATCAGTATCGGCAGATACTCAAAATCAAATGACTCGGAATCTGATCGGGAGCAAAAACTGTGATCGGAACATCCCTAGGTGGTAGAATCATCTCCCGTCGAAGACGTACTTTCAAAGTTCACTAGTGACAGGATTCATGGTAATGTCACAATAGGTCACTGAACCGGTCTTCCAAGGCTTCTGAGGAACATTCTGTGGACCAAGCGAAGTGGAACTATGATGGTTTGTCCTATTACACATCGGGTAGTAGTGTCATAATCTGGGGCTGACACTTTACCTCAGGACTTAAGCCGACATGTGAAACGCATCAGCTTTTGTAATTTGGCGGAGCTCTTATCAAATAAACAAGATGGTGTCAGCAGCCTCATGGTGTTTCTTATTCTGAGTGTGAATCAGAACCGGGTGACTTTCGGTCAAACTCTGAAAACAGCATTTTCTCAGTAAAAGTGAAGTCTCTGAACATGTCCCTGTTCAGGCCAAGGGAGTGGAAATATGGATGCAGGTTAAATTTCCTAGCAGTTGAAACTTAAATGACTGTTTTCTTTACCTCGGCGGGGCCCAGTCATGTCTGGTGCAGTCCAGAAGGGTTCCAACATATGTCTTATTCCTCCATGTGACATTGACAATAAGCATTCCTGCAGAAAGGAACAATGAGTGTTAATCTTTAGAATGAATGTTTCCCAGAAAATTTTTATTTTTTAAATAATTGACATGACTGATTTTGGTTTTTAAATAAAAAAAAGAGACAGTTCTCTTAAATATACTTGTGATGTTATCTGATGGAAGCAGCTTCAAGGAATTTTACATATACCAGGGCTGTCACAATAATAAAAACCGAGGTCAAACTTTTTCCAGTATTCATTATACATTTGAAGTTTTATAAAATAATACCATGCACAATCATGTGCATCATCATGTGAGTGAGTTGGATGTTTTGGAATAAAACAGAATGGACTTTTTTAATTCCACAGTGAGGAGACTCACTTGCTACAGCAGCATAAACTTAAGCCTAATTTATACTTCTCCGTCAGCTCCGCGAGCAAGCCCCCATAATCCTGGTATGAAACTGAAGCCAACACGAAAGTGAAATAAATTGCAGTTCCACCCTCATCCACTAGGGGCTGGTGTCAGAAGCGAGCAAATCCTCATTGACTCCCATGTTAAAAATACCAATTTCACAGCAGAAATAAACAATTTTAAACAAGACTAACTCTAACTCTAAGTGATGAATGGATCTGGTGTGAATGAGACGTGAGATGAATGGTGTATGTGTGAGTGATGTTGTAATCAGAACTCTCGTATCCGGAGAAGCAAGTCTGAATGATGTTGTGATGTTTTGCTTTTAGCCATGATCGGAGTTTCATAAACACATTCGACCCCATATTGTCGCTCCACACATACGCTTAAGATGTGACCTCCGTACAGATCCAGACTGCCAGGTCCTCGAACCCCCCTTTCGGTACCGGAGCCGATGAAACAGCATCAGCAGTACGACAGACTAGTCTTTGGATTGTCTCCGGGTAAAAAGCGACAGTTGGTTGACAGCGTCAGATGGACCCCCCTTGGGGTCAGTGAGTTCAGCTTTTATTCTGAAAGGAACCGTTGCTTGGTTGGTAAAATGCAACAGATTTTATCCAGCTTGTTGGTTCTTTGCTTAAAAGGAAGTCCAGGTGGCTGGTCCGATACTTCTCTTAGCATGTGGTGAACTGCAGAGAACTCCAGTAAACTGTTGAGAACTGACCTAAGATGGCGTGGGACTGGTTTTATTAATCTGGATGTTTTGATTTCTGGTCGAATCAACGTTGGCAGATTTATAAACACCACAGAGACTATGCCAGGTTTCAGAAAGGAAGGTTCTGATTGGATGAGTAAAAGCAATGTGTCGTGTGTTTACCTTACGTGACATCAGCATGTCTAGTGCAGCTAGATTAAAGTCATATTACTTATTTAAGCATACTAATCATAACATTGTTATTTCACAGATTGGTCAACATCATATTACTGACTAACACTTTGTTTGATTAGCTTTATTAAAAATAAGAGTTTTTTGATTTATTAAAAAGACAGTCCTTTTTCGTCATTCTTCTCTTGGGCTGGAACGGAAGCAGTTTAGAAGCAAATGCATGACCTTGAGGCAGTCTCATGCAGATTAGTACTGTGTCAGAGGCATCTGTGGAGAGAGGGTAAATAACCTTCGGTGGAATAGCACCTTCATCACGTTACACAGCCCCACCCTCAGCTCCACTCCTCTTCCTTTTTTGGAATTGTCTGGGCTTGACGGAACCTGTGACACGGTCAAAAGGGCGGTGGTGGCCACCTCCCATTTTGGCTTAAAAACTTATTATTGGAGCCTATGGACACGCGATGTCCAGTATATAAGTTGATGTCCGCAAGGGAGAGAGGCACATGCATTGACAGACATTTTGCTTTCAGACTTCTCCATCAGCTGGGGATTGTTGCAAAACCATTCCCCGGCAGGACAACAGAGGGTGTAGTGTTATTTTGAGATATCCCGCCACCATTAGTCACGTTTCCGGTCAACGATTATGTATCTACTATTGTGTTAACATTGTTTTAATGTATTTTAGAGACTTTTTTTTAACATGGACACATTTGTTCCTCATTCCCCTCCACCTCTTCATACGATCGGCTCCTCTAAACCCACGTTTCTCATCTATTCTGCCCATACAAACTGAGAATAGCTTCTGAGGCTAAATTCAATGGTGATCCAGGAATGTAAACAAAATAATAAAGTAACAACACAAACACAAACATTTCAACACAAAGTCAAAACATACAACAGAAGCTGTTGTCAGCTGGAACCTATACTGGTTCTGGTCGTGGTGGAGGCCTAGTTATCATTTTTAGAGACCATCTTCCATGTAGCTCCACAACCTCTGGTCGCTTTGCTTCTTTTGAATTGCAGCCGATTAAAGTCAGCCGTAAGGACACGTTCTACTGTGCTGTAGGGGTTGTATGAACTAGTCGACTTCATGGTTCTGTAGTGACTTTTTATGCCTGTCATCGACTAGTCGCTGTCATGTGATAGTGACAAGATGCAGTCCTCGGAAAAGACAGCAGGTGACGAGCCCCTGCGCGTCTGGATCGAGGCAGAGGCGACGCGCTGTGCCAGAGCGTCGGTATTGACACCCGCCGTAAAACGGACATTTAACCAAATTGTGACCTTTTCCCTCTTGCAATTTAACCTTCCCCTCACCCCCATCCTAACCTTAACCAGCTTGCGCATGCAAACCTCTGATCGTTGACGCGCTCCAGACATCTGCGTCCCGAGCACGGCCACAGTAACATTATCAAATCTGGTGTCACCACTCAAAAACAAATGTAATGCGATCGTTCATGTCGGCTCATTTCCTTTTATGTTTTCTGTCTTTTTTTTTTGCCTGATGCGCCCCGCTGCTGTGGAGCGGGGCATATCATCTGTTTTGTCCTCGGTGACGCACTGCGGCTGGCGAGCAGCTCGCACTCCGCTGTTTTTGCGGTCGGTGGATCTTTTAGAACTGCAGTTCAAAGGTAACTCATAAGGTGAATATATATGAACCCAGGTAGCAGTTTTTCTTTAGAGTTGAGAGGAGATGCAGGAAGATAATAAACAGACAGGACAGAAAAATAATCAAATAAAAACAAATTCGTTTTTGTACCTGGTGGTTGCAACAAACAGACACCATTGAAGGTAATCAGAAGTGAGGAACAGAAAATAAAATAATTATTTTAATGTTTAGAGCAGCAGGAACTCTGAGAGGCTGCAGGCGCATCAGTGAGTTTGCGGCCGCTGCGCAGGGGGAGGGGGGAGAGGGCTGAAGCAGAAACTAACGTTGTTAAAAGAAATGTGTTTAACTTTGAAAATGTGGGCGCAATTTTAATTGTCAAAAACTCCAGTGAAACAACCCCCCCACGCCACCCCTCCCCCTCGCTGCCGCTTCAGGTGTATGACGTCATCAACGACTAGTCAAAGTCGACTCGATTTTCATTACTTGACTGTCGACTTTAAAAAAAATTAAGTCATGCAACCCCTACTGTGCTGTGGTCTATCGTCCACCTGGTCCAAACAGTTCTTTCCTTGAGGAGTTTAGTGACTTTCTACCCTCCACTGTGAAGCTGTCCAGACTGGTGATTGGTTTTTTAAATCCACGTTGACGATCCCTCAGACAACTTTGTCATGACTTTCTCCAGCCTGATGGAATCCTTCAGCTTTACCCAGCATGTTTCTGGCCCCACACACACACACCAGGGGGCACACTCTAGACCTTGTTTTTACCCAGTCAGGTTTTTGTAGAGCTCATTTCACTGAAACAGCTCTCCTTAGGGTCTCTAATGAACTTCTGACTCACAGTAAGACAGGGGACTCCTCTGTTCTGGTCCTACTGGACCTGACTACAGCCTTTGACAATGTTGACCATCACCTGCTATTGGAGAGGCTGAGAGACTGGGTAGACCTATCAGGATCTGCTCAGGAGTGGTTCTTTTATCTGTCGAAGCATTCTTTCTCTGTGGCCATCTCCAAGTTTAGGTCCCCCATCACATCTCTCACCCATGGTGTTCCACAAGGTTCTGCGCTGGGGCCCCTACTCTTCTTCCTCTATCTGCTGCTTCTTCAGGACATCCTGAGCTCCTTTAAATGAATCTCCTACCATCTTTATGTAGATGACATCCAACTGTACATCTTTCAAAGGAGAAGAGATTCCTGTGTTAATGTATTTAGTTACTCTATTTTGTAAATAGTAGTTGGGTTTTGATAGCAATATGTATTCATTTTAAGTAACTCAAACATAATGGACTGATTAGTATATACTTGTTAGTAGGGCTGCAATAACGAATCGATAAATTAGATGAAAATCGATTACTAAAAGCGTTGGCAACGAATTGCGTCATCGATTCGTTGTGTCGCACAACTCTTCCAAAAGCGCCCCCCCTTCCCGCCCACCGTTGCACGCAGACAGATCAGCGCGAGGGAGAGCCGGCAGTTGTTTGGAAGAGGAACATGGCAGAAGCAGCGAGAGTCAAAAAAGTAAAAGCTTTTTAAGTTTGGGAGCATTTTCAGTTAAATCAGGCGAAGACATGCGTTACCTGCAACGTTTAGGTCAGACTTGGCATGGCACGGGATGATGCAGCGTCTTAAACGCAAGCATGTCGGGATCATCAGCGAGGAAGGAGAGAACTCTGTGTCCGGGTAAATTAAAAACTTTTCAAAAGTGATTCATCCAAGTCCCGGATTATTACACAGGCTAGACATGCCCTAAGCTCGTAAAAAAAGAGTCTAAAGTCGTGAGCGCGACGCTTATTAGATGAGCGGGGGGACTCGCGCTGCTGCGAACCGGTTCCAAGGCCGGATTAACTGGGCAATTGCCCAGGGCCCACGAACTCTAAAGGGCCCAGGGCACAAGCAAATTACTGTATCTATAATTTCCCGCTTTATGAGGACTATGGTGACCGTACGTTCCGTTTTCCCCGGACATGTCCACTTTTCACTCTCTGTCCGGCGCGTCCGGACTGCGGGTTCTTGTATTGATGAATATGTCCGGCTTTTCATCCAGGAGCAGGGATCGAATTATGGGGGAGCTGTATATCCTACACATCCAGGTGAACCGGAAAAAGTTTTCTATATTATATAATTTTTGGACTCTTTTGAGCAGAGAGCGGCACAGCGCATTGTTGCGCAGCGATCCAGGCAGCTGCTTCCAGCGCACGGTCCATTCTCAAAGTGGCGCAACCAAAAAACTATAATTAGCACACGATCGTTCATGTCTGCACATGTTCTCTATTTTCTGTCTTATTTGTGCCTGCAGCGCTCTGCTACTGCGGAGCTCATCACCTGTGCTGCGGTGATTTCACCTCACGCAGCATCGAAAACGCGCTCTGAGCTTTGTGGTCAGGAGACCCCTTTGATCTGTTTAAAAGTAACTGATGAGGTGAAAAGTAAGAATCCAGGCAGCAGTTTTTCTGGAGAATTAAGAGGAGATGCAGGAAGATGAGAGACAGACAGGACAGGAAAATAGTTAAATAAAAACAAGAAAACAAAACACAAGAAAACAAAACAAAGTGTTGAAAAGTAAAATGTACATAGATTTATCTCCACTACACGTTTTTACCTGTATAAAACAATAAGTTACACACATGTAGTATTTATAAATTTGATACTATTCAGGTCACCTTCAACACTCAGTCACACACCCAGGGCCGTTTCAAGACATTTTGGGGGCCAAGGCAAAATGCCCCCCCCATAACTGGGCTCCCCAGAAGCCTCTGTGTAATTCATACCCACTCCAGTAGTGTTAGTTATACAGTGTTTATAAAAGCCCCTCAGGCATTACTGACATGTTCTAATATTATCAGATGAAAAACTAAATTATCAGACATGCTGTCTCATCTGCTTCTTTTCTAAACTTGCAGAAAGTAACAAAACCATTTGAAAGCCACTATTTGTGGAGTCTCTGAAAGTTTCCATGGAGTGTGTGACAACTTATTTTTTCAGTCATTTTTGGAAATAGTGATAAATTTTGATTAATTCACAGCCTATGTTTAATTACATTTAAAAATTAGTTGTTTGACATCCCCAGTTATAATAAATGTCTACAGATGAGATCAAACAAAACAGATGAGAATTGCCCTTAAGCTGTTTAATTGGACCAAGCATTTTAGGTCACAGATAGATGTAGCTTAAGGTCTCTGTCTATACACCTTATAAGACAATTTAGGTGATGGCATGTTGTTTTTCTGCTATTGAACTGTTCAATAAAGTGAAGGAAGGAGAGAAATAACGTTTCCCTAGCAGTTTTTAAAAATTTCCCCATGTAATCTGATTAATCGATTAATCGTGTCGAGACCCCATCCGATTCATCGATTATCCAAATAATCGTTTGTTGCAGCCCTACTTGTTAGGGGTAGCTAATTTATGTTCGTTGTTAATTGATGTCTCCCCACCCTAGTGTGTAGGCAGTGGTCTGATCAGCCACTATTTAAGTTGATCCTGTTGTGTCTGTAGAGAGGTTTTCTTGTACATGTCTGTTGTCAGGTCCTGAGTTTGGGTTCCTTTGTTACTATGTCCATTGTTATATCATTTCAAGTACTGGTTGGAACCCTCTTTTGAGAAAAGAAAAAAAAAGTAATAAATTAAGACGTCAAGAAAATCATCAGTGCTCTCCTGGCTGGTTTATGCAAGTCCCTGACAAAGCCCCATGAGATGTCAAAGCTGTTACACAAACAATTAGACTACTAAAACCTGGATGGCTGGGAACTTTCTACAGCTGAATGACGATGAGACTGAGATCCTCATCTGTGCCCCAGACAAGCTGGTTTCTAAAGTCATAGACTGTCTTGGTCAGCTTGCTTCTCACACCGAACCCTTTGTCAGGAATCTTGGTGTAACCTTTGACCGAGCTCTCACCCTGGATTCTCATGTCAATTCCCTTGTTCGCTCTTGCTTTTTCCATCTCAGGAACATTGCAAAGCTGAGTCCTATTCTGTTCCGCTCTGAATTTGAGACAATTATCCACACCTTCATCTCCTCACGCTTACTACTGAAGTGTGCTTTCGCTTGTCTGAGCAGAACCTCCCTGAACCGTCTACAGGTGGTTCAGAATGTCTGTGCTCGGCTTCTGACCAAGTCCTCCAAACACACCCACATCACCCCGCTTCTCCTCCAGCTTCACTGGCTGCCAGTCAACTTCAGGGTTCATTTCAAGATCCTGGTTCTGGTCTATAGGGCCTTACATGGACAAGCTCCATCATGCATTGGTGATCTTCTTAGTCCCTACACCCCCAGCAGGTCCCTGAGGTCCAGTGACCAAAGCCTACTGGTTGTGCAGCACCAGGCTAAAGACCAAAGGTGACAGATCATCTGCTGCTGTGGCCCCTAGACTCTGGACCTCTCTTCTCCTGAGCCTGAGATCAGTGGACTCAGTGGTCTCCTTTAAAAAGCAGCTGAAAACTCACCTGTACTAGCTGGCTTTTGTATGACCTTCATCACCACCCTTTAATTATTCTCATCTTTCTACTTATTCCACCTTTCCCGTGATCCACTGATTTCCCTTTCGTCATTTTCTCTCTCCCTTTCCTTACATTTGAATCACAATTTTTTTCTCAGTTTAAACATATTTCTGATCTTTTTTTTTAAATCTTTTTAATAACTTTTTTTGTTTTTGTGAAGCGCCTCATGATTTTTATCTTGAGAGGCGCTTCAGAAAAGATTGTTTTCCACTTTCTATACTAAAATGGAAGATATGCCAATGAAGATTGGGCGACATGTAAAATATTTCCAACCATTAAACCGCCAGTCCAACAAGTGACGACTGGCAATATATTACTACAGGTTACTATTAGACGTTTTGTGGCCAGCAAACACAATAGTTCTTACTTAGTTTACAGAAGCAGACCACAGGAGGTCCTCGTGTGAGATGTCATTGTTTTCTGAATTGAATTGGCTATTTTATGCGTCAAACAATAATATACTGCACCATAACTGGTTTGACCTACGCACAAGAATAGGCAGGGGCACTTTTGACCCATCAGCAAACAGTCCCCTCAGAGAAGACTGGACCTGTTTGATCAGATAAGATGTTAATCAAAAGTCTGAAGCTAAGTTGCCAAAGTTATGGAAAGAAAGGAGATATTTTTAAATGACTGTAAAATATTTTGGATTGTGGACGTTAGGCTTGTTGTGGACTAACTATTTTATTGGAGCACATTAATTGGACTTTGCAGACGTAAAAAAAAACTAAGTTGTTCAAGATGGCTCTTCTGTCAATTCCGCGAGGCTTTAAGAAAAAAGCATTCTCTAGTGGAAGTACTTGAGATTTTCTCAAACATGGAGTGTGACGACGGATCTGGAAGAAAGAGCAAGCAAAATTCTTCTATATGGTTTTAGACTGTTTTATGTGGAATGCCAAGCAAAGATTGAAGGATTATTTGATATGTGCTCAAAGAGAACGGTATAGTTCATCGTTCAACAGACTTTGGTTTGGATTCTTGTAAGTTTTCCTTCAATTCATCAAGGATAGATGCTGACACAAAAGCATCAAATAAAACCCAAGTAATAAAGGGAACTGGAAGAAATGGATTTCTTTGGACTGGCTTTCATTTGAAGATTTAAAGCAGCCTAGACACTAACCATAGCTAGTCTTTGACACAGCTGATGACTACATGCACCCAAAAATGTCTAGATCTCACCGTCATCAGTCTCTTGCCACACGATTCCTTCCAGGTTAACACTGGTGCCAGGCTCACACGGTCCAAGACACTCTGGTTCAGTGGCTAGGGCAGCTTTTGCTGTGCTCACGGCCACAGAGCGTGTGCAAACCATGATTTGCTCACAGGGAGAAGAGATGTCATTGTTGTTTGTGTGAGGACCAAGAGCAGGAGGTGCACAGGTGGAAAACAAAGACTCCATCTAGAAGAGAAGAAGATGAGCAGAGCTGATACCAGAAGAAAAACAAAACCACACAGAAGAACATCGTCACTCAGAGACAAAAAGCACGGCAGATTTAACATTTTTTATGCATAAACACCTTAAACTCTGTGGTAATGAAGGATCATTTGTATTTCATACTCGTGTTCCAAGTGCTTTTGTCACTGAAGATTTGAGCTCATTTGCGGCAATACGCACAAACACAGCAGCTCCACATTCCCTTTGCCTGTCAGGAAGAGAGGGTTTCAAAACCCAACAACTACAGAGTGTAACTCCTACAACGGTTTACTCGTAACTTTTGCTGCGTGCCAGTACACACCGGGAGAGTCTCAGCCACGGAGCGGCTTCTCTGACAGTGAAGTAGCGCGCTCCAGTCTGTAGTTTTGATTGGTTAGGAGTAAGTAGTGAGTCTACTATGCTGCTACCCGATAGGTTATAACGAAAAAAGGAAACTTTTTTATCGACCCATTTTTTTCCCCTATTGCACCACATGTCTATCTATAGATATACTGAACTATTGAATTATCGTCCAGCCTTACCTAGTCCTATCTTTAGCGGCACGGTGAGCTGCTTCTGGGATGCACCTGAAAACGTTTGCGTCGCGGCTGGTTTGAATCTCCCGTAGACTATAATGGATTCCATTTGAGGCAGTGACGTTCCGTGCCACAGATGCTTCCAGTGTGAAGTAGGGGTACGGCTGGTTAAGGAGCAGCACCTGCTAAAGCTGATTCTACATTACGTCTCAGACTGAGGTCACATTAAAATAATTTTACAGGGATTTTGGACACGACAGGCCAGGACAGCGCTCTGCTGCAGCAGGCACCTCCTGATGAAGAGCAGCAGCAGCAGCTGTGCCTCCCAGCTGTTTGAGCTCCTCACCTGGAGTCCTTACAACAACTGTACTTAAGCTCAGCAAAGCATTCTTCATAGAACCGGGCTCAGGGTTTTTTTGGATCATATCCCATCATACTTATGAACATAGTGTGATATAACTCTTAAAAGTTGCATATTTTTATTCAGATTCTCATTTTTATTCTTTGTACATACTGTCTGTTTTGTGTGTGTAAGTGTCTACAAGTGGGTAACTGTAACTTAAATTCACCATCTCACCAGCTGCACTGCAAGTTCCCCATCTCCAAAACGCTCTCACACCAGGCTCAGAGTTTGATTAAAGTTGCCACATTTTGCCGTTAAGTTTTTCTTTATAAATCGCAAAGTTTGTGTAGAAAATCACTTAAACTGTTTTCAGACGCTTGTTTGGTGTGTAAGCAGCTTTCTAAATGAGACCCCTGTTCTCTAATGGGCCATTCCCATCTGTACTGGGTCGGCCCGGGCCGGGTAGCGTAGGTTGTTTACATATCTAGGTGGCCTGGTATTTTTCCGGGCCAACCAAGGCTCATTCTCAGCCCTCTTCTCGAGGGGGTCTGCTTCAGGCCGACCAGGGCCAACACACCCACTGCTGACAGCAAATTCACACCTTCCATTAGAGCAAGCCTCTGATTGGTGGGTAGAATCAGCCCACATGGGCTTAAGGCAAGGATGTGTGGAATCAGCCGGGCCAGGCTGGGGCCGACTGGGGCTACCCGGCCCGGGCCGACCCAGTACAGATGGGAATGGCCCATAAGCCTGACCCTAACTGTGGACAGAAACTCCTGTTCAGCTGTTACTAACGTACAAAAGCCAGGGCCCTCTTTCATCAAATGTTCATAGAAACTGTCCAATATTCCATCCTACCAATGAAATTTACAGTGTTTGTACAAATGGCCAAAATCCTATGAAACACCTGCATGTTTTACAATCGACTGATGATTAATCCTACCTGTGCGTACTGTGATGGACAGAAGACGGAAGCTGCCGGGCTCTGAGGGTGTGGTGATTGGACACCGGCTGGTCCTCGTTACAGATAACGAGGCCGGGGAGGATAAAAGGGTGACAGGTCTACCGAGATGTGTGCGTGGTCGACCTGTCATTGTGTCATCGGACTTTGGGGGGTGGGGTCGTTAGCAGTCGGTTAGGGCTGCCGGCGACGAAGACAGTTAAACAGGCGTACAGCGTTCCAGCGTTAGGAGGGAAGGCTTGTCGCCTTATTTAGGTAGCGAGGGCTGGGCATAGTGGATGCCAAGACCACGCCGCTATCTGCCGCCACGGACTCTGGCAGTTGGACTTAAGCTGAAGATTTACCCGCCGTCCTCGCAAGCTGCACCCCGGGGCGTTGAAAGCTCAGACCCCGGGGAGGGGGGTCACATCATCTAAGACAGCTAAGTACCGCTGCTTGTGTTACTCATGCTGGACAGCTGGTTTTATGAGAGAGGACTTTGGCCATAGTGTTTTATTATTGAGTGTGTAATAAAGTGTATCGTTTGATAAGTCGTTGCCTACTGGTGGTGTTTTTGGGTTCTGACTGGAGGGCAAGATATTCTGCTCGTGCGCCCACTGAAACTTACATTACAGTACCTAGATGCTCGTGTCATTTACATACAGAAATGCCCTCAATTAACCGTATTTGCTCAGCTCATAAGGGGAATCCCTGCGTTTCGTCCCGAAAAAAAAAGTAAAAAACGTTACCGACAGCGTCATCAAGGCGCTGGATGCCGTAGAACTAGGGCTGGGGGTAAACGATTATTTTTAAAACGATTATTCTGACGATTATTTTATCGAATAGTCGACTATTCTAATGACTATTTAGAAAATTAATCTAATGATTATTTTTCTATTGCACAATTAACAAAAACCAGAAAATCTCAAATAAATTCCTCAAAAAAATTGATAAATTCTTACTGTAAGAGAATAAACACTACAGGCCTTCCATTTTGTATAACACTGCTTTTATTGTGTTGGTTGGTTATGTTCTGGTGATGTGTAGAACTTGGGAGTGCAGGCTGCTGCCTGAGAGGTGGTAGAAGATGGAGTGTCTCCATGCTGCTTTGTTTTGGTCACTTATGTGCGTGAGGCGAGTGGTCTTACGGGTTAAACCAAACTCAGGTGATATTTTACACTAAACCGAAAACCCACAACACTCTAAATGTAATGAAAGGGAGATCTACACCACAAAAAAGATTAACTCTAAACCAAAACGTAACAGCTTATCCCAACGCAAGAAGCTGTTAGCGAAGATGCTAACAGTAGCTTTACCAACATTAAGTTCAAGTTACCAAGTTTAAATAAACCAAAAACACCCAGCAGCAAACAGACCAGCATGGAGGAGAGACTGCTACCACCAAAACAGCTCTCCTCATGTCTGAAAGAAGCTCCTTAATGAAGGGAGAAGCGCTCCCGGTGATTTTCTACATCTGCGGTAGGCACGAAGCAGCGCATCTGACCCCGGAAGTTGTTGTCCGTTGCCGGGAGACGAAGGGGCAAAACAGGAAAATAATCTAGTAGTGGACGGACGTTGTTCCGGGTCTTCGGTATTTGGCGGAGATGTTAGTGAAGGCGGAGAAGAGGGCGAACTAGAGGAAAAACAGGCAGATTCCTCCTCTATTTACAAACTCCTGGGGATGCAACAAGTGGGCGCGGTGCGTCGACTTCCGGATCTGACGTCGACAAATTTTTAGAATCGAGCCGTCGACTTCGTCGAGGCTTCGCTACAGCCCTACGTAGAACAAAACACATTGCAGAGGCTGCAAACGCGGTTGGAACAGAGGAGAGGTTCCTGACACAAATAAAGAAAAAAATGTGTCTGATTTAAAGTTTAACCTGATAAATCATAGAGCAATGGGTTGTCATTTAAAGTTAACATGCAAGGAGTTGTATGCATGTTCTGTTTGGAGTTTTATTTGGGAACGTTGTCTGAGCTGTCATCCTGTCAGGCTATCTTGATCGGGTAGCAGAGGAGGTTCTGGGTGGGGATGGATCGATTGCAGTTTTTGGCCGATCACTTGCCGATACTGGTTTTGTCTTAACGAAGGAAGATTTCTCTTTATTGAGAAAACCAATATGAATACTCATGAAACAATACCAGTTTCAACTAGACATGAGGTAATGTTCGCAAATATAAATGAACATATTTAGCATCGCTGTTTGCACTACAAACTCATATTTCTTACTTTACTTTCATTTTTCCATATTTGAAAACAAACTTGTACCCGTTTTGACACACTTGTCCAAAAAATATTATTCTACAGCAATGATTTGCTTTGGCATAAACTAAGGGTGCACCGATTGCAGGTTTTGGCTGATCATTGATTTTTTGGCCAATAGATCGGTGGTGTCAAAAATTTCATTTGGACTGGGATTGGATGTGTGTGGTTTGTCTGTCCCTCCATAAAGGGTCCCAAATCATGGATTAGCTCCAGGATTTCCTTCAGAAATCTGATCAGTGTGCTCATGGAGGACGCGCCCCTCCAGAGAACACGCTCTGCCAAATCCTCCAACAACACAAAATCAGCTACAATGTCAGATTCCCGTGGGTGGCAGGTGTCTTTTAAAGGTTCTAAAAGCAGTTGTGTTAAAGCGGTTTCTCCACGGACATCATTACTTATTGGGTATAAATATTTTCTGGATGAGGAACACACATGGATGACTGAGGCCTTCAGTGCTGCGGTTCCCCATTCTACCACTAGATGCGGTTCCTACGCACGGTCTTTCTACACACAAGTACAAAATGGTAAATGCTATACAACGTGTATAATCGTTTCAACGTACGACATACGCACAGAGCTGTTGTAACGGTTGACACACGAGGGCCCTGTAGTTTGATAAAAGGTCTAATTGAATTTGTGCATCTCTAAAGCTGAGGACATGAGTTTCAGAGTCTTACCTTCTCACAGCTGGCCACCTTTATCTGATGTTGACAGTCAGCATCATCCACCACCTCGTCCTCCGTTTTGAAGGTAACCGCTGGCACGATTCCAACTGAATCCAGAGCCAGGTTCCCACACTGCTCTGACAGGTTGAAGTCCACGTTTCGCTGGCTCTCCAACGAGCTGCTGCACGCTGCTCCAGAATCTTTCTCAACAGTAGAAACATGGGAGACTGCAAACTCCAGTTTCTCTTTTTTACTTTTCCCACACACCAGATCCTTGTCCTTTTTTACAACAGGGGAGGAGCGAGAAGCTTTACCAGACTTCTCAGCTCGTTTGGTTGTGGTTGAATTGAAGTTCTGGGAGGGTGGGTCTACGGACGACCTGACTAGGACCTCCTTCTTAGTTCCATCTGAGACCAGGGCCTTTCCACTTTCTTTGAAGGTTTTACTGCGCTTTGATTTGGGTTTGCCATCTTTACTCTGTAAGCTGGATGCAGGACTAACAAACTTTATATTGTCAGGTAAAGCAGCCACAGCACCAGAGGGTGCTGCCATGCCCCCGTCTTCCTTACAGCTGGACATCTCTAATTTGTCCTTCTCTAAGTCAGCATCAAGGTCAATGATCAGATTGCCAACACCAATATCCCACTCGTCACCACTGTCATAAGTGTCCACTGCATTGGAGTCCACACCTTTCCCGCATGCAGGGCTGCTGCTGAGGGACATCTTAGTTCAAGAGCCCCAGAGTGCCAAAGGGGGCCACCCGAGGGCCACGGGAGGACCAAGCACCTCCCCCCTTGCTGGTCTCCTCTCAAGGCTGGAGTCTACGCCTCCTCAATGCGTCTTCCTGCGTCGCCTCCTTTAAAAGTACAAAAAAAAGGTTATTTTAAACATCTCATCTCTAATCTTGTGTTCATTCTGTTCTATTTGTGTTTTTGTTCTTACAGAATTGGACAAAACCAAGTGGCTGCAGAAAGAAACTACAGAGCCAGGTGTCCGCAGGTTCTGTCTGTTGTTGCAATGACAAACATGATAAATGACCCCCACTTGTATAGCGCCTTTAAGAGTAAGCACTCCAAAGCGCTTTACACTACAATGTATCGTTCATCCATTCACACAATGATGGTGATGAGCTACGATGTAGCTACAGCTGCCCTGGGGTGCACTGACAGAGGCGAGGCTGCCGAGCACAGGCGCCACCGGACCCTCCGACCCCCACCAGCAGGCAACGTGGGTTAAGTGTCTTGCCCAACAGCAGAATTCTCTGTCCGGAGCTGGGATTGAACCTGCAACCTTCCGATTACTGGACAAACCGCTCAACCTGCTGAGCTGCTGCTGCCCAACATGCATTAAAGAAGTATATAGCTGATAGAGCCTTACAAACGTGAAAAATCATTAATAGAAGAGCACAGGGCTGCTCAATTAATCGAATTTTAATCACAATTACGATCTGAGTTTTGAACGATTGTAAAAACAAAACAAGCCGATTATTTGCTCCTCCCACTTGCGCTGCCCTGAGTTGCAAATGAAGCGCTCCTCCCACAGTGTTGCCAACGACTTTGACACTATTTCTAACAGCTTTTCAGACCCCCTTCTTGACTTTTTAAATCCTAAAAGTACCTGGCGAACACCTGAGAAACATTTCTGGTAACCCTTAGCTACTTTCTGGATAACTGTCGTCGACATTTCCTGCAGGTTAGCTAAACACTCCGCCTGCGCTCCGGACCGTTCTTTAGGACATTAGGAAAGGGAATGATGTAGTGATGTGTCAGTCGCTAAAGAATCGGCTCTCAAAGTCGGCTCCCTGTGGATTAACCAGAGTGAGTGACACACACCGCACCTGCGGACTCCTGAGCCGCTAAAAACGGCGTAATGTGCGCGTGCGACGCGCTAAACACACGTGCAGCTTGCCCCTGATTGCTGAGACCAGGCTGGGGGGTGGGGGGTGCAGCTGTGTTTGGGACAATTATTACATTAACTGATGGACTTGTAAATAAATAGTTTATAAATAAGGTAGAAATAGATAGAAATAAGTTCCTCGTGCTGATAACTAATCTCTCAGAGGACACGGTGCTAGTGCACTCTCCTACAGCACCTTGACACGACTAAATAAATGTTATGCAAAATGTTGTGAACATCAATTTATTTGCATTTATTTGTTATAAATGCCACTGCATAATTCTTGCTGTCAGTATTTGCAAGACATTGGTATTTGGGTCTGTACTGGTTAGACTTAAATGAGTTAAACCAAGGTCTATAGCCCTTGGGTCATAGACTATGAGCTGTAAGTATATTGGTCTTTTTATACTGGGAACCAGGAGTTATTTTAGTGATCATCTTGTTTCTTATTTATTTTTGTCCTGATTGTGCTCTGAGCAATTTTATGACTGAATAAAAACAAATAAAATCAACATAAATTGAAAAATCGTCCTAAATAATCGAGATCTCAATTTCAGTCACAATAATCGTGATTATTATTTTTGCCATAATTGAGCAGCCCTAGAAGAGCACGTCATGCATCATCCAGAGGGACATCAGGTGCTCCGGCAGGCCAAGGGACATCAAATGTAGAGGAGAAAGAATGGCTGGAGCAAACAAACAGAACTAATGTATCGACAGGTTATGTCTTCTGTTACTCTGAAGAAGACATAACCTGTCGAAACATTAGTTCTGTTTGCTTGCACCTATTAAAGTACTCCGGACCAGTTTGCTCCAGCCATTCTTTCTCCTCTACATGTGAAAAATCATGTTACACTACATTTACCAACTAGCAATGAATCGAGAGTTAACTATTGAACTTGCAAATAAAAGTTTTGGTTGACTTTGGCAGCCCTGATGGATGACGTCTGACAACTGATTCCCAGAGTATGATGTTTGTGTGGTTTTAATAAACAGTACACCTGACCAAATACTGACTGGGAGGGCAGATTAAGTGATCTGTGTTGGTTTCAGATGAGAAAGAGCTACAGAAGACCTCCTTTTGTGTCCAAATGACCAGTTACCTTGTGTTGGAGAGACTGGCATGGGCCCATCTCTCAGATGGCCGTGGTTTGCATTTGAGTCTCAGGATGGGACTGACATCAACATCCGCTGCCTGCTTTGATGAGCTCTCTTCATCTGGGAAAAGCAGAAGCACAGCAAGAATGGTGTTTAGAGCCGCTCTGCTGTGAGACTGCTTTAGCAGGTTACCAGCTGTAATTGTAGCCAAAGGTGGCTCTACGAAGTATTCATGCAGGGGGGCTGAATACAAATGTACAAATGCACTTTTCAGATTTTTATTTCCCTGAAAATTTGAAAACCATGCATCAGTTTCATACCACTTTACAATGTTTTGGTCACAGAAAACCTCAAAAATCATTGTGTGTGTGTGTGTGTGTGTGTGTGTGTGTGTGTGTGTGTGTGTGTGTGTGTGTGTGTGTGTGTGTGTGTGTGTGTGTGTGTGTGTGTGTGTGTGTGTGTGTGTGTGTGTGTGTGTGTGTGTGTGTTAAAGAGAAAGACGCATCACAGACCTTAGCAGTGTTAGCATGTACTTAGCAACCATTAGCTGGATACTACTAAAGGGTCGACCTCTAACCGCTTCACCAAAAGGCTAACATGTACAAAAATAGCGCCATGGGCCCTTAGCTAATGTGACAAATCTCACACGCGTGACCGTATTAATTTTGGAAATCCAGTATGAATTAGCGCTAATGTAAAACTATGACTAGACGTTACTCCCGAGGCCTACAATCGCTCTCTGCCAGGCTACTAGATCCATTACCGGACACACATTACCAGCAGTATATAGAGCTAAAATAAGGCTAGCTTCTTTAGCGTTGCCTCTAAAGAAAGCACAACCTGCCTGTTTGTCTGCCCACGGTGTTTGGTAAACTAACGTCTTCATCTGCTGGAGATGTCAGAATTAATGACCGTTACATAGACGTCACCGGGAATGGACTCCACGTATTTACTCTACTAGACAATCTAAATCCCCAAACAAGTATTACACAGTACGGGACTATACACCCAGTGATGTCCTTAACAACGACACCAGACACGGAGGTAGCTAGGTGTTTAATACCAACCACTAACCAGGTGTTTAACGTTCAGGTAAACCAGGTCCTGACCCAGTTTGATCTGGGTTTAGGTTCTGGTTGTAGTGAGGAAGTGAAACAAGTGGGTCACACGAGGATGTGTCCGATGATGGACGTCTGCCCTTTAGGTCCCATGTCTCCAGACAAAGACAACAGTTAGCCTGCTGAGCTAACCCCGGGACATCCGGCTGCTGCATGATCACAGAAGGAAACAAATTTAACTCCACGGGTTCTCAGGTCCACTCACCCGCTTTGGAGTCCACGTCAGTCCTTTACTCGTGCACATCCCATAGGTACATATAATCCCGATAATGACAATTACTACAACCTGCAATCTGGGTCTGATGGGGACCTGACGGAACCAGACCCAGCGTGTTCCCAGTTCAGAGAGCAGCAGCCGCCGCTCTACCACATCCAGGATCAGGAAGCGTTGAGGCACCCGAGGCCGGTTCGGTTCATCCAGCTGGATAAAACACCGCTAACAGCCCAGTTATGAAGCATGAGGTGGTCCAAAAATTGCGGATTAGTCCAAGTCGGGTTTTCTGTAAGTGAACTCACGTACAGCACAGAGAGGGTTACGCACCTGACAACCAAAGCCCGGATCACCGGATCATCATGAACGGAACCGGAGCCGGATCTTTACATCTACCGGATGTGGAGTCACTGCATCTGGAATACTAGGCAGCAGTAGCGAGTAGGTCAGCAGAGAGTTGTAGGATCTTCCATGGCAAAAAGCTCTGCTGGTCTGTCCTTGGGCAACTTAACCCACTTTACCAGCTGGTGGTGGTGATGGTGCCCGTGCTCGGCAGCCTCGCCTCCTTCAGTGTACCAGGGCAACTGTGGCTACATCGTAGCTCATCACCACCAGTGTGTGAATGTGTGTGTGTCAAATTTATTGACATGGGAAAAATTATCTCGATAAGAGTCAGAAATTTCGATAAAGATACATTTTCGATTTATTGCCCAGCCCACTTTGGCAATGCCACCCAAACCACAGTTGGACACATTTTTTTCCAGGTGTAAGAGCTAAAATTAATATCAGATTCTGCCAACAAAAAGGCTCTAAAACAATTCATATGTACATATTTAGCATATTGCAAAATCTCATTTTTCTGCTGCTTTAGTGCTGCAACAACATTTTATTAATAAGAAATTATACCTTTTATTTTACTACAGCATCGGACAACTTCTTGTGCACAGATTATTAAGGATGCTTGTTTCAGCTGTGAGATTAGATGATAAGGTAAATGAAAAAAATGTGGAAACTTTCAGAGAAACCACAAATAGTTGCTGTAGATGGTTCTGTTACCGACAGATTTGTGTGAGTTTAGAAAAGAAGCAGATGAGATGGCATCCATCCATCCATTGTCTGAACCCGCTTTGTCCACATAGGGTCGCGGGGGGGGGGGGGGGGGGGGGGGGGGGGGGGCTGGTGCCTATCTCCAGCGGTCAGTGGGCAATCAGGCGGGGTACACCCTGGATAGAGAGCCAGTCCATCGCAGGGCAACACAGAGACACACAGGACAAACAATCACACACACACACTCACATGTAAGGACAATTTAGACAGTCCAATCAGCCTGACAGTCATGTTTTTGGACTGTGGGAGGAAGCCGGAGTACCCGGGGAGAACCCACGCATGCACAGGGAGAACATGCAAACTCCATGCAGAAAGATCCCAGGCCGGGAAGCGAACCCAGGACCTTCTTGCTGCAAGGCAACAGCTCTAACCACTGCGCCACTGCGCAATTTTGTTTTTCATCGGACCATACTAGAACATGTCAGTGATGTCTGAGGTGTTTTTTTTAATAAAAACTGTATAATGAATACTCCTGGACAGGGTAGGAATTACACAAAGGCTTCTGGGGAAACCCAGTGATTGGGGGGGTGGGGGGGTGGGGGTGGGGGTGTCCCTTTTGCCTTGGCCCCCAAAATGCCTTGAAACAGCTCTGGGTGTGTGACTGAGTTTTGAAGGTGATCTGAATAGTATAAAATGTATAAATATTACATGTGTATAACTTTTTGTTTTATATAACGTGTAGTGGAGATAAATCTACCTTCATTTTACGTTTCAACACTTTGCTTTGTTTTCTTGTTTTTATTTAACTATTTCCTGTCCTGTCTGTCTCTCATCTTCCTGCATCTCCTCTAAACTCTCCAGAAAAACTGCTGCCTGAATTTTTACTTTTTCACCTCATCAGTTACTTTTGAGCAGATCAAAGGGATCTCCTGACCGCAAAGGGGAGTGAGCGTTTCGATGCTGAGTCAGCACACGATGAGCAGAGCACGTCAGGAATGATTAAAAGACAGAGTACCAGAGGATTTAAACAGATCATGTGTTTATAATAATGTTTTGTTGCGCCACCTTGAGAATGTATCATGTGCCGGACGCAGCGGGCGCACCAACGATCAACACTCTGCGTCCTCTCCGCTCAGCAGAATCCCGCTAGGCTGAGAGTCCATAAATATTGTAACATAGGCAGAAACTGGATCTTTCCCTGACAGATATCTAGTCCCCCCATTATTACATCCCTGCTCCTGGATGAAAAACCAGACATTTTGATCAATGTGGGAAACCCCCCCGGACGCGCCGGACAAAGGGTGAAAAGTGGACATCTCAGGGGGAAAATGGGACGCATGGTCACCCTAGTGAGAATGGATGAATGAAACAGTGTAAAGTGCTTTGGAGTTCTCTGAAAGGTGCCATACAAGTGAAGGTGATTCTTCTTTTATCACTTGTTCAGGGTGTCCCCATCACAGTTTGGAACACTGTGGCTGAACACCAAAGACACTCAGACCCTGTCCTGTTCAAAGTGCTGCTTTTTAAATCATCAAAAAATAAACTGCATGTAAAAAAAAGTGTTTGCAGCAGCAATGTAAGAACTTTAAGAATCAGCAGGACCCTGCTGGAAAAACCAGCACAGACCAGCATAGGTGGTACCAGCATGTTTTGGTCCAGGTTTAGATGGACTAACATCCAGTCATCAGCAGCCCATGCATCCCAGCACCAAAACATAACATATTCTGATAACACATATGCTGGTCTGTGCTGGTTTTTCCAGTAGGGGAGCCATCCATCCATTATCTGAACCCTTCACTAGGGTCACAGGGTGTCTGTCTCATCTGTCAACAGGTGAGGGGGGGGCACCTTGGACAGGTCTGTCCATCACAGAGACACAAAGGGACAACCAGCCACACACTCACTCATGCCTAGGGACAATTTAAAGTCTCCAGTTAAATTAACATGCATGTTTTTGTGGGAAAAACTGGAGTACCCGGATAAAAGCCACACATGCATGAGAAGAACATACCAGCTTCAAGTAAAATGGTAAATAGCCTGTTTTTGTATTGTAATGTCCCGTTGGAGGTTAGCTGGACCCTGTACACAACCCAGCTCCTCTTGTTGATTTAGTTGTCAGCCATTACAGCTACGCCTCCAGATTTCTTTCACCGCTGTCAATCGACCTCTCCTGGCCCACAGTCTTCAACCAAGGAATTTGGCAATGCATTCCCTCCATTTCGATAGCGTGGGGCAGAGGCGAAGCCCGGCCCCCCTCTTGGGGCACGCTCTCCACCTGATGAGTCTCACTGGACGATGCTGGAGCGAAATTTTGGGACTGTACAGGTTGGACCATCTGCACCGTGGGGCCCCCCGGGAACTCCAGTGTATTTTTCCCCAGGTCCAGCACACACCGAGCCACCCTCAAGAAGTCCAGACCTAATATGCACTCATCCTGCACAGCTGCAACCCACACCTTAAGATCCACTGACAAGCCACCCACCCGGATGGTCATCAGACCCCGCCCCAGTATGGGAGTTAAATCCCCAGTCACCGTTCGAAGCCGGACAGATGCGGCTTCCAACTGCATCCCTGCTGGAACCATATCGGGCCTGATGAGTGTGGCAGTGGACCCTGTATCGATCAGGGCTACACATTGCACCCCTTTCAGCATGACAGGGACATGGCAAAAGTCCCCAACATGAGTCCAACCTATGACTCTGGTCCATTCCGCGCTGTCGTCTGCTTCTGGGGGAAGCCGAGCCATACTTCCCCACCTCCGCTCCACCTCCCAAAAAAACACCAGAGCAGGACTGGTGAGCAGGGGATTTGCACCGTCCCTTCTACGCAGACCCAGTTCGTTTCCCTGCCAGTCAGCACGCTTTGGGCACCGCACAATGATGTGGTCACTCTGGCCGCACACCCAGCAGACAGGCTCACTGCGGCGAGGCCACCCGCTCTGCGGGGGCTGTAATGTCACAGCCCTTATCAACTCCGTCAGTTCACTGACCCACACTGGCTTCTCCAGTTCCGGAGCCTCACCAACTGCGACTCTGGTAACAGGACTATAGTTGATGGTATCAGTCCCTGAAGTGGCTCCAACCAGCTCCCTCTCCAGCGCTATTTCCAAAGCATTCTGCAGTGTGCGAGGATGAGCCAGCTGTGTCTGCACTCGCAGTTCCCTAGGGGATAGGGCCCGGATGAACTGGTCTCTTGCCAGCTCGCTCTGCACCACTGTGGGTATGTGCGCGTAGGCCCTCCTCATCAGGGTTTCGATCTCTGCAGCCAAAACACGGAGCGGCTCCCCGTCAGTCTCTGTCTATTAGCCAGCTCTGAGCACAGCACAGCAAGCTGGTTAAATTGTCCAAAACGCCGCTGCAAAGCTGCAACTAGAGCCTTGTAATCCCCCCGTTCTTCTGGGCTAAGCAACAGCAGACACCGAGATGCATCAACTGTAAGGCACAAAGCCAATTGAAGTGCTTTGATGCTGTCAGACCAGCCTGCAGCCCTCGCCAAAAGTTCAAACTGTGCATAAAAAGCCTCCCAGTCAGTCTTGCCAGAATACTTCGGTGTTTTCATCTGCAGCTGGTTACACAGAGGGCCGCCATCTTTGTTGGCGGGTATTTGCACGCCAGTGCCGCCTTCCGCCGCCCCTGAACCAAATTTGGCATCAGCAGCTAGCTTCCTCCCATCTGTCTCAGACGAGCTACATGTTCCCGGTCACAGGGAAAATCCGTCCCACGTCCTGGTGGTTCTGCATAGTGATAGAATAGTTATTCATGTTTTCATTTATCATGCTTTATGCTTTTATTATAATTAAAGATTTTTTTTCTTTATCGTGTTTTATGCTTAATGATTTTACCATTTGATGCTTAAACAGTTGCTGTATTGTAAAGTTCCCTCATGAGACTTTAAGGGTGTTAAAATCTGACCTAATGTGACCCAAAGATGACCCGAATAGATCTGCTGTGTCAATTGCTGACTCGTGCAACTGTTTGCTACTCATCGTGTGATTAGACACTGAAAGTTTTTTGTGTAATAATGAATGCTCATTGTTTGAAACTTGTAACAATTAAAGACTGAGAGCTGTGTTTTCCCCCATCCCTTTAGATCAGCTCTTCAGGCATGTAACTAGGGAGCTCCCAGCTTGTAATAAATAGAGATGCTTGGATTTTCAAAGGCCAGAATGGTTTGGAGGAACTGTCAGCTCAATGGAGACTGAGTTGGTATGGCCTTATTCCATTCTCCTCGAGCTTAAAACAGAATTCTGACTTTTGTGTCTCTTTCCTTGTGTTGTG